AGATACAAACTCTCCAAGTTCCATCAGCATACCAAATTCAACCTATTTTTCTTGATGTGTCAATGACATCACTCCCTCCTAGCCACCTGCTCTAGAAATTTCAAAGTGTTACTTTAAACAAGTTTCCTCTCTGTCCTTCTATCCTCTCGTGATCTCTAAGATCTAGCAGTTCTGCCCCACACTGATTCCCAGTGCGGTCCTTTCTATTGCCATTTCCCTGCTTCAATTTTACTCACTATTGACTTGGACTGATCCAAAGGCTCTCCATTGTTTGGAGCTGGGGAGCCTCGGAGCTGGGTATGACTTGCCCCATTTAATTAATGGCAGGCCAGATCTAGAATCCAGGTTTCTTTTCAGTGGCTACTTCATACTTCTTAGCCCACTATAATCCATTTTATATATGAATGCCAGATTAATCTTTTTTTTTTTTGAGACAAGTCTCACTCTGGTTGCCCAGGTCGGAGTGCAGTGGTGCAGTCTTGGCTCACTGCAGCCTCAAATCCCCTGGGCTCAGGTGATTCCCCCACCTCAGTCTCCTTAGTACTTGGGCCTACAGGCATGTGCCGCCATGCTTGGCTAATTTTTTGTATTTTTAGTAGAAATGGGGTTTTGCCACATTGGCCAGGTTGCTCTCAAACTCCTGGACTGAAGCAATCCATCTGCCTCAGCCTCCCAGAGTGCTGGGATTACCAGTGTGAGCCACCACACCTGGCCCAGATTAATATTAAAAGTGATGACTTTAACCAGATGAAACTATTATACTATGATCCCTGCCATGGTATTTCAGGGGTCAAAATCTGGACAAAAATAACATCTCAACGTTATCTTTATCTTGGCCCCTTGCTGTACTCTACAATCAAATGACCTCTTGGATATCCTTTGAATATGGCCATACTTTCATGCAAATAATTTCTGGAATTGGTTTTTCCTCCCCTGAAATGTAGTTCAGTAGTTTGAACTTATATCACATCTGTTTTAAGACATTGTGGTGATTTAATTATATAAATATGTCAGTTATCACCATGTCTTTATATTTATAAATGTAATTTCTGCTGGGCGCAGTGGCTCATGCCTATAATTCCAGAACTTTGGAAAGCTGAGGTGGGCAGGTCATTTGAGCTCATGAATTCAAGACCAGTCTGGGCAACATGGTGAGATCCTGTCTCAAAAAAAAAAAAAAGCTGGGTGTGGTGGCACATGCTTGTAATCCCAGCTACTCGGGAGGCTGAGGTTCGAGGATCACTTGAGCCTGGGAGGCAGAGCTTGCAGTAAGTCTAGATTGTGCCTCTGAACTCCACCCTAGGTGACAAAGTGAGACCTTGTCTCAAAAAAAGAATAAAGCAAAAAACCATATATATAAAATAAATTTCAGTACAAAGCTTAGCAGATTTACTTCTGGAACTTGACAAAGTGACTTGAATGTTTGTTTAAAAGAGTAAATAATAAAAAATAATCAAGAATATACTTGTTCAACCAGGTATTAAATGTTGTGTACCCTGGCCCAGACATATTCAGGCAATGAAAATTTAGAAACAGAGAATTGCCTGAACCCAGGAGGCGGAGGTTGCGATGAGCCAAGATTGCGCCATTGCACTCCAGCCTGGGTCACAAGAGGGAAACTCCGTCTCAAAAAAAAAAAATAACGGTTCATAAATCTCTTCCTTTTTGGACACTTGAGTAATTTTCTAATCTTTTTTATAGACTACTATTAATGTGGAATAATTGAAAGCACGTTGTGTTTGGAATGGAGTATAATTTATAAATTCTGGCTTCACCTCTAAGTCATGATATGCCTTTGAGCAAATTTATCTGAATTCTTTGGATTTGATTTTCTGGAAAACAAAAGCTCTTAACTTTTAGCACTCAAATTATATTTACATCTAATACTAATCAGTACTTAACCTGTATTTGGTTATTTTTAGGAAGGGGAACTAAGTTTAAAAAATTTATGTTCGAATAAAAGGAGAATTTGAGAAAATTTTGCAGACTAATCACCAGAAGTAATGAAACTCTCTTGTTGAAAATCATCAAAGAATTTTGTTTTAGTCTGTTTTATGCTGTTATAACAGAATACTGGAGACTGGGTAATTTATACAGAACAGACATTTATTTTCCCACTGTTCTGGAGGCCTGAAGTCCAAGATCAAGATACCAACATTTGGCGTCTAAGGGCCTTCTTGTTGCATTCTCACATGGATAGAAGGCAGAAGGGCAGGAGAGTAAGCTAGTCCAGTGTGTGAAGCCTCATTCATGAGGGCCTTAATCCCATTAAGGAGGAAGGAGCCCTCTTGGCTTAATCTCCTCTTAAAGGTCCTACCTCTTAATAAGATACATTAGCAACACCTGAATTTTGGAGGGAACACATTCAAATCATGGCAAATTTAGTAGAGCAAATTCCAAGACATTGAGCTTAGGCCAGTTGTCAGTCATGGGTATAATTTTAGATGTTTTCAAGTTCTGAAGCTTTGCATTGAAAATCAGACTTTGGAACAAAGATCTGTGTCTTTGTATTGACCTAATAGCAGGTATGTGAATTCCATGGCTTGATTTTTTTTTTAATATTTTTTCTGTTTTGGATCTTATAATTAATATATGCTTTTATTTTCTGGATCTGGAAATTTTAATCTAAAATATACTTTTAGAATGCTTCAGAACTAAAGAGGCAGTGTTGTCGGCTTGTTTTTGTTTTTTTTTGAGACAGGGTCTCACTGTCACACAGGCTGGAGTGTAGTGGTGTGGTAACAGCTCACTGCAACCTGGAACTCTTGGGCTCAAGCAATCCTCCCAACCCAGCCTCCTGAGTAGCTGGGACTACAGGCATGTGCCCCATGTCCAGATTAAAAACAATTTTGTAGAGATTGGTTCTTGCTCTGCTGTCCAGGCTGATCTCGTGAACTCCTGACCTCAAGTGATCCACCACCTCAGCCTCCCAAAGTGCTGAGATTACAGGCCTGTGTCATCGTGTCTGGCTGTAGGATTTTTTTTATGAGTCTGGGAGTAAAATGATCTTTAATATTGTCCAGTTAGAATTAGAGTTTGTTTTAATGTTTTTATGCAGTTTAGCTTAGGTGCAATAAACTGCATGAAAACATTAAACCTTTTCCATGGGTCCAGTATACCCTGAAGCAGCCGTTCATGAACCTTTTCTTTTCCCCTCACAAGATAAACAAGAAACCACAACATTGAGGGAAATCTAGAAAGGTAGAAGACGGAACTTTGGAGATGTAAGATTAGGACAGGTGAAAAGCAGAGATTCTAGGCTCCTAAAATAACATGGGAACAGGCCCAGAACAACCTTGGACGTGGTGTGTTTGGATGCATTGGATGCTTTTCTTTTGAGAAGGAAGGTTGATGTGTTGAAGTCATGGAAAGCAAGATTGGCTGGAAAAGGCAGATGGTTAAAAGTCTTGAATTAGAGACAAACATATTTCTATTTGGTGTGATTATTGATTGGAAGGCCTTAAATAGGCAGGCAATAGTGTGCTGAGAATATTGTTTTAGAAAGATAATGTTGAATTCTGTTTGGGATGTGCTAATTAATACTCAGGGAAAGAAGTTTTGTGCAGGAGACCGTGACTAAGGTACTAAAGGCATTTGTGAGAATTGTGAGGAAAACACGTATAGCATGGGAGATCAGGGCTAAAAGGTGCACACTAGGAGAAGAGAGCTCCATGAGGTATGGAGTTATGGGCAGAGTTTGAGTGAGAACAGAGTGTTATAGGACTTGAAGAGATGGCATTCCAAAAAGGAAGCCAGGGAGGCGAAGGCTGCAGTGAGCTGAGATCTGCCCACTGCATTCCAGCCTGGGTAACAGAGCGAGACTCAGTCTCAAAAACAACAACAACAACAAAAACAAAAAAAGGCCTATTGAATCTGGATAGTAGGTAATCATTAACCTGGTCTAGATATCAGTGAATTCGCTGGCTTGGGGGGGTGGGAAAAGTCAAGATGAGTATAATTTACTTCTTTAGTGATTTCAGCAATTGAAGTAGAGAAATAAGGTAATTGCAAAACAATTAGGATTTAAAAAATTCTGCATAGATTTATATATGTGTAAGAATAGATAGTATGGGAAGGGAGGAAGTAGAATGATGTGAATAAAGATATTGGTCTAGGGGCATTCAAATTCTTTTTTTCTTTTTGAGATAGGGTCTCTGACACCCAGGCTGGAGTACAGTGGTGTGATCGTGGTGCAGCCTCAGACTCCTGGACCCAAATGATCCTCCTATCTCAATCTCCTGAGGACCTGAGATAAAATTCTGTTTGTAACTTATTTTCTAGTTACAAATGTCAAACGATGCTTACTACATAAAGCTTGGAAATTAGGGGAAAGCACTAAATGTCTCCAGAAATAACTAAAATTAACTGAAACTAACATTTCAATATAAGTTCTTCTGGTCTTTCTTTTTCTGTGAGTATGTGGCATAATTGAAATTCTTTCTACTCTTTTTTTGTATTCTGTTTTTCATTTTAAAGTTTTTTGATACAGGAGAAATTATGCTATGTTGATATTTCAGTGGTCTCTTAATAATTTGCTATTTTTGCACATGGAGATTTTGTGTTTGTTTTTGTGGTTGCAAGATTGAAATAGGTATCTTTATGTCTATATTTGTGTCTACAGATGAGTTTCTTAGAATACAATTCTAGAAGTTGAGTTCCTGGAACAAACTATGAACACTTAAGGTTCTTGATGCCTGCTGCTAAACTGTTTCAAAGGTTCCTCTTTGTAGGAGATATAAAGGATGGCTTATTTTGTAATAGTTATGACTTTGTAAAGCTTTTAAACCTGCTTTACCTAGAGTCTAGCTTTTAAGTAAAATAGAGGATGTAAAGGGAGGGAACCTCTTGAATTGAATGTGGGGGCTTTTTCTCTTTCCCTATAGGATAGATATATTCTGTTTCTTGTCTCCCAGTGAGTCAAGAATAATTTAACTTTTGGCATAAGAAACTACTGAAGAAAAATAGGTTGAATAAGCTTACATTTTTCTTCTTTTTTGCAGGATATAGAAGACTTAGATCGCTATGAGATGAAGGAAGAATAGCCTGTTAGTGGGAAAAAGTCAGAAGATGAAGGAATTGAAAAAGAAAATTTGGCAATATTAGAGAAAATTAGGAAGACTCAAAGGCAAGACCATGTAAATGTAAGTGTGTAAATATCTAGAACCTGGACTTTTTTGGTTAAGTAATTACAGTTAATACCAGGCAATTCATTAACATGCCTATCTCAGCTGCCCTCCTCCTCCATTCCTGCCTTAGTGGTGGATTTAATCATGTTTATTTTAAAACAGGGTCTTTCTCTGTCATCCAGGCTGGAGTGCAGTGGCACAATCGTTCAGTGTAGCCTTGATCTCTCAGCCTCAGCCTCCCAAGTAGCTTGGACTATAGGCGTGTGCTACCAAACCAGGCTAGTTTTTTTTTTTTTTTTTTTTTTTAGTAGAGATGAGGTCTCTCTGTGTTGCCCAGGCTGGTCTTGAACACCTGAGTTCAAATGATCCTTTCATCTCGACCTCCCAAAGTACTGGCATTATAGGCATAAGCCACCATGCCTAGCCGTAGTCATATGTTTTGTTGCCCTAGATTACCTTTCATCTATGAATAGCCACGTTTTAACTGTTCATCTGCTCTTCACATTCTGGAACCACCAGCTGATCCCTGTATATGCCCCTTTCCAGCCTGTTGATGCTGTTTTCTCTGCTAACCTTCCTCCCATGGGATCTGTATTTCAAATTAATCCTCTTCTATAAAATACAATTCAAGTACTTTCTCCTTTGTGAAGCTGACTTTGGTCTGTCCTGCTCTGACTCACCCAAAAGTAATTTTTCTCTTTTGACTGAACATCTTTTTTTTTCTTTGAGATGAAGTCTCGCTCTGTCTTCTGGGCTGGAGTGTGGTAGCATAATCTTGGCTCACTGCAACTTCTGCTTCCCGGGTTGAAGCAATTCTCCTGCCTCATCCTCCTGTGTAGCTGGGATTATAGGTGTTCACCATCATGTGTGGCTAATTTTTGTATTTTTAGTAGAGACAGGGTTTCTCTATGTTGGCCAGGCTGGTCTTGAACTCCTGACTTCAAGTTATCTGCCTGCCTTGGCCTCCTAAAATGCTAGGATTACAGGCATGAGCCACTGCACCTGGCCACAACTTAGTATCTCTTTTATGCAAAGCAGCAGGATGTGAAAGAACACTGAGTTTGGTGACAAACACACCTTTTATGGTTTCACTTTCCTCAACACTAAAATATGGCTACACAGTACATACCTTTTGGATAATTGCTATGAAAAAAAATGAGAATGATGTGTGCATGTATATAAAATGCTCAGAGTAGGGAAACATCAAATGATTGTCTGAACACTTACTACTTCCTGCCTTGTATTAGGGCTATTTACCAACTCCATGAAATCTGAGGACCAGTTACTTTGTCTTGGGCACAGGTTCTCCAAAACAGGGAATGAATTGTTAGGCAAGTAGCTGCCAAGTGTTGAAACCAGCTAGATTACTCTCCCTCCTTCAATCTTACTTATATATTATTTTATAATTTTAGTAGAGCAAAGAAATTTAGTCCACCTCCATTTCTAGATGACTTAAAAAACAAAGTTTGTATCATTTGAATTAATGATAACTACTTTCCGTGTCTTGTGATTGATTCCAGTTTGAGTTACAGTCAAAACAACTATAAATTATGGAACACTTTTGCAGGACCGATACTGTGCTAAGTACTTTATACTTCACATATCTTCACATTTAGTCTTCACAGCTACCATGTGAAATAGGTACTCTTCATATTTTAGAGATACGAAAAGCTTCTCATATTTTGTAGATATAAAATGAGCTAGGAAACTGGATTTTTTTTCTCCTTCAAAGCACAATCTTGAAAGTCTTTAATTTCACATGACCAAAAAATAATTCCATTTATATGTAGTCTTAGGATAAGATGACGATGTGTTTTCATCTTTAGAGAAGGCTCCGCACTGAAAAACTGAAACCAGTTGCGTATAGGGATACATGTTTCTCACTTTAAAGTGTCTTAATGTGTGAACTAGACTGTGTAATAGTCTTGCTTGTAGTCTTATGAATGGAAGTCTGTTTTAGTTAATAATGTGTCACCTTGAGTGTCTTCTAGTATTTTCAGAAGTTGCTGAGGTTTAGAATAGACTCATACCAAATTCTGTGCTATTGTGGAGTCCGTGGTGGTCTGGACATGTTGACTAGACTTTTTCCCATGATAAGAAATAGGAAATGAACCAGACTTGTGCCTAGTTTTGTATCCTCTTGAAACTTCATAATGCTTCATTTAATTGGACTAGTTTTTCTTAAAATGTTGAGTGGTGGTCCATGTTTACTGTAATCTTTTGTGTCAGGTTGAAATACCTTAAATCTTTAATTACTTGGCTCAGTGGACCCTGGTAAACAGTGGCTTTTGTGTTTCAGGGTGCGGTGTCTGGGTCAGTGCAAGCTTCAGATAGACTTATGAAAGAGCTCAGGGACATATACAGGTCACAGAGTTATAAAACAGGTAAGGACCCCTGGATCCCTGCTCTCCTTATGGTTCTTCTGTTCTTTTCTATTGTCTGGTTGTAAATGTCATTTCTTAAAATTGGACTGAAATGGAAATGTTTACTGACTTTATTTTAGGAATGTGAAACTGAAATGCAATAAAATTCCAAAAGATGTAGGGGTAGAATAGGATAAGTTATTTGTTTTTTGGATTAAAAAAGGTTTTTATAAGTCCATTGGAATTTTGTCCTCTTCCTGATAAAGAGTGAGCCCCCTGCATGATTTTTATCTTCGGGTGAAAGCTTGAGCAATATTGCTTAGAAAGTAAATAAGAATAAAGCATTTCATTGTACAGAGAATGATTGATTGCCAAGTTGGTTTTATCATTCCCCATCCCCATTTTGAAAGCAATATCCTCAACTCTTATTGTAGAGATAGTTAGCTTATTACCTTTAAAATATGTAGGTTTTTAAAGTTTTCATTTCATTGTTTGACTTGAGTAGTCTTACTCAATATGACTTGAATATTATGGAACCTCTATAAGTAGAGGTAAAATTCTGATATTGTTACAGAGATTCTAATAGTATGGAATAAAGTACCAAACTAATTTGAAAAGATAGCATTGGTTGGGTTCGGTGGCTTACACCTCTAATCTCAGCATTTGATAAGAGGCCAAGGTGGGCAGATCATCTGAGGTCAGGAGTTCGAGACCAGCCTGGTAAACATGGCAAAACTCCATCTCTACTAAAAATACAAAATTAGCTGTGTGTGGTGGCGTGTGCCTGTGATCCCAGCTACTCAGTAGGCAGAGACAGGAGAATCACTTGAACCCGAGAGGCAAAGGCTGCAGTGAGCCAAGATTGCAACACTGCACTCCAGCCGGGGCAGCAAGAGCAAGACTCTGTCTCAAAAAATGTATGTAAGATAGCATTATGATGCATTCAGGAATTCTTAGCATGAGCAAATCAAAATTATTAGAACTTGCTTAAAAAAGAAAAACAAGGAAAAATCCTTGCTTTATAGAGTACAGGATAAGCCAGACTTGTTTCCGAGACGTTAGAATTATGGGTGTCATTACTGTTTTTTTGTGTAAGAAGTTTGAAAGTTTATCCGTAGAAAGCTAATAAAGTACAAACATTTGAATATTAGTTTTCTTTTTAAATGTTAAGTAATCATTTGTTTCAGTATTGTTTATATAGGAAAAAACAGATATTGGGCGGAATTGGTTAAAGCATATCCATAAAATAAACTGCAGCAAAGTCATGAAAAATACCGTGAATGGATTTATGTATACTGACTTGGAAAGATGACCCTGAAAGTTGAAGAGGGTTATAAAACAAAATACGTGGAAGGATTCCATCTTTGTAGAAATGTATGTTCATGGAAGAAAAGTCTCAAGTACATGTGATTTTGTATAATCTTTTTTTCCCACTCAGACTAAATGGTAAGCAGTTTTTCACCTCATTAAAGAATCTTCTCAATTGATGGCTATAATTATCTGTTAAGGGCATAAGATACTCAGCTGCAGTGGTGTAATATTTACTATATAGCTTAGTTGTTCCAGGTTTTAAGAGCAGAATTTTTAGCTTTTGTTGACTATTTAGTTTATACATTTTTGCCATAGTAATAGTTATATAATCAAATGAAGAGTAGCTAATGTGCTCTGTATCTCAACAGGGCTTTATTCAGTGGAACTCATAAATGACAGTTTATATGACTGGCATGTTAAACTGCAGAAGTAAGTGGCTTTTTAATGCTAACCCACTCTTTGCAATGGTAGACCATCATGATGGAGGTTTTTTCCTTCTAATTTGATACCTTTACACTGTGGCTTTTACTTAAAACTTTAGACCTTGTTCCTATAGAAATAGTTCTTAGATTGTTTGAATAAGCTGCTTCTGACGCTGAATAAGAAAGTGAGAAAGAGGAAGGACAAAAGGAGGGACCAGCTGCGGGATAAAGTGTTTTATGGAGTTCTCGAGAGCAGGGGAACTTAGAAACAAAAGTGTGTTTAATAACTTCATGAGACTGACCGTGATAATCAGTTTATATTTGAAATAAGGGGTCACCCAGTACTTTGGGAGGATGAGCTGAGAGATCTCTGGAGCCCAGGAGTTTGGGACCACCCTGGATAACATAGCAAGACCTCATCTGAAAAAAAAAAATTAGCCAGGCATGGTGGAGTACACCTGTAGCCCCAGCTACTGGGGATGGTGGGAGGCTGAGGCAGGAAGATCTTGTGCTCTGGAAGTCAAGAATGCGGTGAGCCACTATATTTCAGCCTGGGTGACGTAGCGAGACACCACATCTCTTAAAAAAGTTGCGGGGACGTGGGATTCAAATTGGCCAAATTGGACCTGTATATATAAGACAGTTGTAGACAAATAGCGATTTTTTTAGTGATTTAACTTTTCATAGTTTGATCCATGGCAAATTTTTCTCCTTGAACCCCTTGGCTAACAATACAAGTTTAGGAAAGCATATTAAACTCTTTTTGAGTTCTTGAGAAAATCATATACATGTGTCTTTTCTTTTAGAGCGACTGCAAACTCTGAAACCCCTTACTAGATTAGATTTAGAGTTATGGTCTCTTTTGGACATTTATTCCCAAGGAGCTGGGAGCTGTAGTGACCTCTATTTTTCCTGGTGATATAGAATACCTTTAGACTTCTCTTTCTAGAACTTAATCCTAGGTGCTCTGTTTTAGCTGTCAGACTAGTTCATTTCTGAGTTTAGTTAAAAAAGCTCCAACTTTTAATTTGAACTGTTTTTTGTTTCATAATTCTTAGGGTCGACCCTGATAGTCCTTTGCACAGTGATCTTCAGATCTTAAAAGAAAAAGAAGGCATAGAATATATATTGCTTAACTTCTCTTTTAAGGTAAGAGAATACAGAACACCATATACTTCCAATGGGGGCATATACTTGTACAAGGGCTTTGGAAAACAATTTGGTGAAGTAGAAGATACTCATACCCTGTGGTTCAGAAGTATTGTAGACATACTCTTCGTAAGACATGAATACTTAAGTGTACCAGGAGACACAGGAATGTTCAGAGCAGCATCATTTATAATAGCCCCAGACAGAAAGTAACTCAAGTGTTCATTCCAATAAAATGGAGAATTGTGGTGTTTATAAAATGGTTTACAGCCATGTGGGACAAGATGGGGTGGATCTTAAACACGATGATAAGCAAAAGAGACTATACTCCAAAACCTAACTTATACGATTCCCTTTATATAGAGTTCAAAAACAGGTAAAACAAACGTTGGTTAGGGCATACATTCTTAGTAGAGGCAATGTCACCTGCAGTGGAGTGAAAATTGATCTTTAGAGTGAAAACAATCTTAGATATTATAATGGTCTGCTGCCCTCCAAAGGGCTACATAACATAAAAAGATATACAATCTATCTGTGGTGTTAAAATTTCATGGAGCAGGGGGAGTAAAATTAGGAAGAAAACTTATAAAAAGCCTTTTTAGGGGGGCAAAAATGAAAAGAAAACTGAGAAACACTTATTTATGGATTCACACTTGGGTAGTAAAACTACCAAGAACAAAGAGGTGATTACATACAGGTTAGGATAAGGAGTGGGAAGTAAGGAGGTGTGAACTGAAAGATACATCTGTGGGCTTCTTGGATACTGGCTGTAATGTATTTCTTGACCAGGTTTGTGGTTACATGGGCACATAATTTATAATAACTTCTTAAGGTGTACCTCTGTATTTTATGTACTTTTCTGTATTTATGTGTTATATTTAATAAGGTTTTTTGTTTTTGAGACAGGGTTTTGCTTTTTTCTCCCAGGCAGGAGTGCAGTGGTGCAGTCTCAGCTCACTGCAACCTCTACCTCCTGGGTTCAAGCAATTCTCTTGCCTCAGCCTCCTTGTAGCTGGGATTAGGGGTGCATGACCACCTTCGGCTAATTTTTGTATTTTTAGTAGAGAGGGGGATGTACCATGTTGGCCAGGCTGGTCGAACTCCTGACCTCAGGTGATCTGCTTGCCTCAGCTGCCCAAAGTGCTGGGACTACAGGCATGAGCCACCATGCCTTGCCTAATAAAGTTTTTTTAAGATGCTAAAAATAATGGTTAAAGAATAGCAGTGCAATCTAGAAAAAATGTTAATGATTTAATATGGATCTGGATACAATGTAATGGTTTAAAATTTATGGGTATATGAGATATTTTGATGGAAAAAATACTTCCTTTGTACTTGCAAAAACGATAGTAATAATTTTCTAAAAGCTTCTTACATAGTTCTTTTATGTGTATATTTTGGCTTGGGGATATATCTTATGATTGAACTTTCTTGAAATGACCCAAATTTCAGTATTACCTGTCACTATTGTTATCATAGAAACTGTTGTGGTTGTCAACTGGGTTGTCTTCCTAAAGTATGAATCTGGTATATATTGATTGAAGTTGCTAATGGCTACATTTTTGCTAATTCATATGGGGAAACAAATGAAGCACCCAGGCCAAAACCAAAAAAACAAAAAAAAAAAACCACAAAAAACCAGGAAGGTATCTTTCTTTTTAAAACATTAAATCATATGTCCATATGCTTAACATCAAACTTAAGAATATAACCTTTTTGTTTTTTTAATCAGTCCTTGTAGCCCCTGATGTGCCCCACCCTTGTCACGTCCTCTTTGAGAGAGAACTTTATGGGAATATGAAATTCTGGCGAGGAAACTGGAGGATTTGTGACTGCAGGTGGTGTTTTTATTATTTTTTCCTGCTCTAGGTAGAACTTCAGGGAGGGCATGATCTGGGAGGTAAATGGCTGAAATTCTATTGGATTTCTGTTTCTGGACCATGGCTCCTGATACTAGAAAGAAGGGCCTTTTCTGGGGTTGGAGTTTTTCTTAAGGGGCCTGGGAAGAATGTGATTGCCTTGAGCTAACTGACCTTCTGAAGAGGACCTTAAACTGAATTGCCAAGTTATTAGTATCGGGGTTCACAGACTTTGGAGGATAGCAGGTATGCCTTGGAAAGATTTACAGGAAGGAGCCAGAACAATATATATTTTTGGCGTCTGATGTCCACAGTGACAACTTTAGAGTCATGAATATTAAGAAAAATGGAACTTAAGATAAAGCATAACACAGAGATGGGAGTGAGGGCAGGAGGGAATGCGACCTGGTCAGCAAATTGGTAAATCCAACGTGCTGTGCTTTTAAGGAAGTCATTTTCTGATGTTACAGACAACATCAGAATTACTGAATTGAATTCTGAGGTAGTACTTTAAGAAAGGTCTATTTAGATAAGTTTAGGTTTATTTAGAGAATCGTGGCCAGGATTGGGAAGAGATTGTATTCCATGTCCTAGGACAGGTGGTGACATTGTGGATTTGGAGAGAATATGGGGGGTTGATGTTAGCTTGTCCTCAGCTCTTTGAAGGAGCATGTATATGGAAGCATTAGTTTTTATTTGTGTTTAGTGAACACAGGGCACAAAACTAGAACTAATAAGTCAAATTACAAAGAGGTGATTTTCAACTCAATATGAAGTGATTTGTTGTAACTATTTAGACCCATCTGGTGATGTAAAGTAGAATGTTCCTCATCCTTAAGAATAACTTAGAAGGCTGAGTTGTTAAATGGAAAAATCAGATGACTTCATGAGATCCTTGTAGAGCCTGAGAGACTGGTTCTAAGTTAATATATACTAAGGTAACTCAAACTTCTTAACAGTCATCCTCAACCTTCCCCCCCCGAAGAACTCTCTTTATTTCTGTAAAATCTAGATTCCTGAGTTCTAGGGTATAGAATTTATGGAATGAAGTCCCCAGGTTTTGATGTAGAAGACTTATTCTGAACTCTTTACAACGAATTAAATCATATGTAATCAAGGAAGAGGTTTTGTAGTCATTCATTAGGGATTCACATACTTAAAAATCTAAATAGGCCAGGTGCGGTGGCTCATGCCTGTAATACCAGCACTTTGGAGCCTGAGACAGGTGGATTACCTGAGGTCAGGAGTTCAAGACCAGCCCGGTCAACATGGTGAAACCACCATCTCTACTAAATATACAAAAATTAGCCAAGCGTGGTGGTGGGTGCCTGTAATCTTAGCTACTCGGGAGGCTGAGGCAGGAGGTTCACTTGAACCCAGGAGGGGGAGGTTGCAGTGAGCCAAGGTCACGCCATTGCGCTCTAGCCTGGGCGACAGAGTGAAACTGCGACTCAAAAAAAAATGTAAATAATGGATTAAATGAAGTTGTACCTTTACCAAGCTTTACATCAACCTCTGTACTTTTCATTATGTCTGTTAAATATAGATGAAAGGTGAGCTACTTTATTTGAAAGGAGATTATAATTACTGTCATTAAGTTGGTATCGTGTGTCATTAAGTTGGTGTCTTGTGGATAATCTTTAATTTCTATTGCAAGATAGAAAATGATTTCTTCTTATCCCTCATCTTATATCATCTTCTTCTCTTCATTTATTTTTATCAAGTCTGATGATCTTTGTCTTTTAATTGGACCCATTAGTTGTCCTTGTTTATATATTTTTTCTTTTCCTTGTCAATACAAGGACCTTAGAACACTGTGAGTTCATGTCCTGCCTGCCACATACGTGCTGCTGTCATCATGCACTCTAGTTCTATGCTTACCAAAAACCCTACACTTAATTATGTAATGAGTCAGTATTCACTTAGATCCACATGCATATTTGCTCTTTTTCATGCTCTTTATTCTCCATATTTTCATTGAGGATCCTTTTTCCTGTCCGAAAATATCATTTAGTATTTCCTTTAGTGTGAGTCTGAAGATAAAAAGAGTTTTTATTTCATTTTTGAAGAATATTTTCATTGAGTGTAACTTTCTAGGTTGGCAGTGTTTTCCAGCACCTCGAAGATATCACTCTCTTACCCCAGCTTCCATTGTTTCTCTTGAAGTATTTATGGTGGTTAAATCTCGTGAAGTCTTTGGTTGGTTTTGGAAAATTCTCAGCAACCGTATCTTCAGGTATTGCTTCTGTCCCATTCTTTCTTTCTTTTTTTTCCCTTCCAGAACTCTACGTATGTAATAAACTTTTCAGTATATTTTTTATTTTCTCCATTTTCTACCATTTTGTCTTTCTGACCTAGTTTCCAGTTTACTGAATCTCTCTTCTACTAAGTTACTGCTGTGGTTAAACTTATCCATTAAGTTATTAATTTCAGCTATTGTATTGCTAAATTTCAGAATTTCCATATGGTTCATTTTTTATAATTTGCATTTCTCTGCCAGGTTTTCAGTCTTGTCTTTTCTTTCCTTATGTTTGGCAATAACTCTTATCTTGATCCCTTGTGATTTTGTGTCTGTTGTTTGCTTCTCTCATTTTCTGTTATGTCGACAGTCTTTAAGTCTCGTGTGGCTTATTTTTAGTGGTAGATGTTATATATGAAAAATGGTATAACTAATTTGAAGCCTTGGATGATATTCTCCAGAGAAGATTTGTGTTTTTCCTTGCCGGGGCCTTGGAAATCAGCAATCCAGGATTGCCTCATCCAGTCAGGAATTGAGGTGATTAAAGCTGGCCATCATTCCCTGTTAGGGCAGTTTGCAGCTTGTTCTTCAGGGTCCCAACCTAAGGAGTGGGAGACTTAGCAGGGCCTCTCCTCGGGGGAGAGGTGAGCTCCAGTGTTTATCTTTTTGTGGGTTCTGTGAGTCTGAGTTTTAGCTCAGCTTGTTAACCTCTTCTTGTCTCTTCTGTCATTGGAAGAAAACCCAAGGGGTTGGGGGAAAGAAGACCCTGCTCTCTGGTGTTCCCTTTTCTTAGCCCTGAAATTGTTACGTTTTGTTCACCTTTCTAGTTCTTAGTCAGGAGCTTGATCTAAATTACCTAGTTTATCATTATTGGAATGGTTCCTGTATATAGTTTTATTGAAGTGGCACCCCTTCATATATTCATGAGTTTACCATAACACTGTTCTGTTTGGGCCTGATTTTAACCTCATTTTTATTTGCTTTGGTTTTTGTTTTGGTTTTGGTTACTAACTTTATAACTCTTACCCATTATCTGATAATAAATGTACACATTCTTTATATAATCTTTTAAAATCTTGAAAGTAGTGTAACATTGAGGATGTTCTTAACTTGCTTATTTGCTTTTTAGGATAACTTTCCATTTGATCCTCCATTTGTTCGAGTGGTGTTACCTGTTCTCTCAGGAGGGTAAGTTTAAGTGATTACTTAAAAAAATTTTTTTCTCTTTTTAATTTTTTTTTTTTTTAATAGAGACAAGGTTTCACTATGTTGCCCTGACTGGTCTTGAATTCCTGGGCTCAAGCGATCCTTTCATCTTGACCTCCCAAAATGCTGGGATTACAGGCATGAGGCTACTGTGCCTGGCCTGCTTTTTTTTTTTTTTTTTTTTTTAATATAACGTGCACCAGAGTCATTTGGAGAGCTAGTCTCAGTGTTTGTGATTTCAGTAGGTCTGTGGTGGGGCCCAAGTGTTTACATTTTGAAGAAGTTTCCAGGTTAAGTTGATGCTATTGTTCTGGGGCCTACGTCTGGAACCATTGGTTATAAAGCGTTATGTTGTTTATAGGTAGAGTTTTTAATGATTCATACATACATGTGTTTATACACATACACACACACACATATATAGACACACATGCTTTTTACCATAAAAAAATGTTTTTCAAATGTAAATTGAGATTGAGGATTTAGAGAATGTTATGATTAGAGAGTGGTCCCCACATGCTTGTGATCCTATTTGGTACTTCTAGAAATAATCACAGGAAATCCCATGGACCTATGGAGCTGGCTGTCTAATTACTTCTAGAGGTAATAGTTGCAGTTTAGTAGAGTCAAATGGTAATTGTCATGCAATTTTACTAAAGTTCATATTGCTGCTTTTTATGTTTGGAAATCTTACAGAAGGTAGAGAAAAGATCACAATTTGTTAGGTTAGTTATGAAATGTTCTGTAGACCCTCAAAGTATGTACAGTTTAAATTGAGAATTTTTGAACACTCAGCTGACTGATTCTATTATATGCCATAATCTATATTATGGTGATTAAAATCTAAATATATCCAGCCCTTACTTTGATCATTTCTATGGCTGAGATAGTAATAGTTGCATTAGGGTAAAAATATGAGTGACTACTTCAGACTTCACAACTTTCCCCAGAAGAGCTGTGTTCCTGCGATTATTTTTAGTTGTATTTGCTTTACATGCTTATGTATGTGTTTTGGGGGCTAACATCCTGTTAAGAATTATTTCTGTGTAGTCAGAGGACATATTAACATTCTGTGGCGTTGATACTACAGAATAGTTATTTGGGCATGATGTCCATCTGTAAAGCTTAGGGAAACAAAAAGTGTGTGTGTGTGTAATGTTGGTATTGCATATGGATATGCTGAGCTCATTTTGAGTTCTGCTACATGGTAAAGCAATATTACTTTGATTGATTGATTGAGACAGTGTCTTGCTCTGTTTCCCAGGCATGAATACAGTGGTGCAATCATGGCTCACTGCATTCTCTGCCTCCTGGGCTCAAGCTGTCCTCCCACCTCAGCCTCCTGAGTAGCTGGGATGCCACCATGCCCAGCTAAGTTTTATATTGTTGGTTGAGATGGGGTTTTGCCATGTTGCCCAGTTTTGTTCTTGAACTCCTGGGATGAAGCCATTCACCTGCCTCAGCCTTGCAAATTATTAGGATTACAGGTGTGAGCCACCGTGTCTGGCCCAATTTTGTTTTTAAAAAATATTAAATAAATTGTTTTTTTGTTTCTGCTTTTTTGTTTTTTAATTTTATTTTCAATCTTGTTTCGTAAGGGTTTACTTACCTGACACCTGTAGCCTAATCTTTGCCATATCCCCCAAAATATCCTGTGAGTGCTAATATAGTGGGTTTTTTTTTTGTTGTTGTTTGTTTGTTTTTTTGAGATGGAGTCTTGCTCTGTCCCAGGCTGGAGGGCAGTGGTGTGATCTCGGCTCACTGCAACCTTCGCCTCCTGGGTTCAAGTGATTCTCCAGACTCAGTCTCGGGAGTAGCTAGGACTACAGGTGCACACCACCATGCCCAGCTAATTTTTGTATTTTTAATCGAGATGGGGTTTCACCATATTGGCCAGGAAGGTCTCTGTCTCTTGACCTTGTGATCCACACATGTTGACATCACCAACTGCCAGGATTTCAGGTGTGAGGCACTGTACCCAGCCTAGTGGTTTGTTAATAGATGTTTGTTTTTAGGGGATTGCAAGGTTTTGGGAAAACCAGGTTCAAAATATCTTTTACTGAAGGACTTCTTGGAGACTTAATGCTGTTTTCATTTTTTTTCCCCCAAGTTTGTTTAATAATTTACATGATAGCATCTCAGAGGATGGTGTGCTCTGGCTTACCCTCTGGGAAATGCTGCTCTGTTGGAAATTTCGAGTTTTGAGTGATTCCCACGTGTTTTCTGCTGCAGAGCAGGAAATGCTGAAGCATTCCCTCAGAGCAGATGTTACAAGTCTCCTTTTGACAAGTTGTTACAGAGTTGATCACAAGTGTAGTATTACAGTGAGTGGAAGTCCCAGGTTGGGTTTGAAACAGAGTTGTTTAGAATTGTGTAGTTTTATTTTGTTACCTTTAAAGCTTCCCTATACTGTTTTTAGATTGGGCAGTAAAATTGCTATAAAAAGTACTTCTTTTGTCATAAAACCTAATGATTGTTTTGGAAGTTGAATGTTAGGTAACTCAGTCAAATACTTACATATACAAAATAAACCCAAGACTGAAAAATAGTAAATTTTTAACCTTTCTGTCTCTTGTTTACAACACCAGCCTTTTACTAGCCACCAAGTCATAGTTCTTGTTTTTCATAGTTTAATATTAAAATACCTTTAATGAAGCCTTTACTAGTTGGGGAGAAATGACGTAACTATTGTGCTGTTGTGCTTTAGGTGTGGTGTTGTTGTTTTTTGAGACAGTCTTACTCTGTTGCCTAGGCTGGAGTGCAGTGGCGCAACCTCGGCTCACTGCAACCTACACCTCCTGGGTTCCAGGTATTCTCATGCTTCAGCCTCCTAAGTAGCTGGGACTACAGGCACGTGCCACCACACCCAGCTACTTTTTGTATTTTAGTAGAGACAGGGTTTCACCATATTGGCCAGGCGTGTCTCAAACTCCTGGCCTCAAGTGATCCACCCACCTTGGCCTCCCAAAGTGCTGGGATTATGGCGTGAGCCACCGCACCTGGCCAACTGTTGTGCTTTAGTTTTATGCACTTGTTTATAAAATTGTGTATGTTTACTCAGTATTCCCATAAACATGGGAAAAAGAAGGCAGGGCATTTTTTGTTCAAAATCTTATTTGAGAGAAAAAAAGATCAAGGAAAACATTTGGAAGAAATTTACAAATTCAGAATAAATATATAAAAACTTTTCTTTTATTTTTGAGGCAGAGTCTCACTCTGTTGCCAGGCACCAGGCTGGAGTGCAGTGGCACAATCTTGGCTCACTGCAACCTCCTGGGTATCATGACAAATCTAGGATGTCTTTTCTCATAATTTTTAGACTAATATAGAAAGATAATTTTAACCTCTTCAGTTTTGGAAGTAAATGTCACCTGAACTGCTTTACGAAGCTTTACTTTATTAATTGGATGAGTGATTGTTGTCCTTACATCGTGTGACTCCCACATTTTACTTTTCCTGCTCTCCAGGCATTCGTACTTTTTCCTTATGCGTACTTTCAGATCTCTCTTCTTCCAGAAAGCAATTTTTGCTTTATGCAGGGTCACAGGCACATTTTAAAATAAGTGCTTTGGATAGCTTAGTTTACAACACTTTGGAGATAACTATCCTGAGTGGCCTCTTTAAAAACAATGTCCTGAGACAACAGAGCGTGTTGTAAATTCATAGATTCCACTTTCCACCCCCCTCCTGCCCCACTGTGTTGTGGCCAATTCAGAAATTTTTAACCATGGCAACAGTTACTCATTTTATAGTAATGTTTTAGGTTAAAGTAGTTAAGATGGTCCCACCACTGCACAAGGAAATCTAGCTTGGACTACAGTGTCTCTTTTTTTTTTGCAAATGAAGTCTTGCTCTGTCACTCAGGCTGGAGTGCAGCGGCATGGTCTCAGCTCACCGCAACCTCTGCCTCCCAGTTTCAAGAGATTCTCTTGCCTCAGCCTTCCTAGTAGCTGGGATTACAGGCACCTGCCACGACACCCAGCTAATTTTTGCATTCTTTGTAGAGAAGGGATTTCACCATGTTATCCAGGCTGGTCTCAAACTCCTGACCTCAGGTTCTCCACTTGCCTTGGCCTCCCAAAGAGCTGGGATTACAGGCGTGAGCCACCACGCCTGGCCAGTGTCTCATTTTTAAGAAGTAAATAATTTGTATTTTCTAAGAATAAAATATGAGAAGAAGATAAAAGCAGAATTGAAATTGTGAGGAAGGGTGGTCCACCATCCAGTCTCCCACCCCTGAAGCCCCTCTGAGGAATCTTGGTGCTGCTGGAAACACTGCTTGAAAATATCTAGGTCCAACCCTATCTTCCTTCACCACATTTCATTTTACACTCCGGGGAACAGATCCCTAGGGCATTTGCTCAATTTTTATAAACAAAGGGGCTTCAACTTTAGAGATTCTATGGACAACTTCTTACGGAAGAAAGATTAGTTTTCTTACTGCTATTTGGCATTAGTTGCTGTGTTATATAAAGTGATCCAGATAAACAAAACCTTTTAAAGTGTATTCTTTAGTTTCTTTAAGTCCTTTAATTTTCTTTGTAGATAATATTTTCTGTATTTATCATGTGCTCCTTCTTTATCAGATGTGTTTGTGATACAAACAGGGATAAAAGTTTAGTGAACAGGTAAGATGATCGGTCAGTCCCTCCCGTAGCCACTGCCACCACCGCCGGCCGCCCCCTGCCTGCACCTCCCATGCCTCCTTGGGCCAGCATCTGGCGGGTGGGAGCCAGGCGCTGACCGGCACAGCAGGGGTGGCAGAGTATTCCTGCTCCTGCGGCTTGTGCTCTGGTGACTGTGCTTCCCCATGGGGTTGGCCCGCGACACCTGGGTGCTCTGAGATTGTCACTGCTGCTCCAAGGGCACACGCAGAGGGATTTGGAGTTCCTAGAGAGTTGCCTTTGTGAAAAGCTGGAAATGCTTCTTTCAAATCCATCTCTTAGTTTTCCATAGGAACATGAAGAAATCATAACAACTTTGGTAATGAAGAGTTTGACTGCTACTTCCTTGATGAAGGTTTTACTGCCAAGGACATTCTGGACCAAAAAATTAATGAAGTTTCTTCTTCTGATAAGGATGCCTTCTATGTCGCAGACCTAGGAGACATTCTAAAGAAACATCTAAGGTGGTTAAAAGCCCTTCCTCGTGTGACTCCCTTTTATGCAGTCAAATGTAATGATAGCAGAGCCATCATGAATACCCTTGCTGCTATTGGGACAGGGTTTGACTGTGGTAGCAAGACTGAAATACAGTTGGTGCAGAGTCTGGGGGTGCCTCCAGAGAGGATTATCTATGCAAACCCTTGTAAACAAGTATCTCAAAAGTACGCTGCTAATAATGGAGTCCAGATGATGACTTTTGATAGTGAAGTTGAGTTGATGAAAGTTGCCAGGGCACATCCAGAAGCAAAGTTGGTTTTGCGAATTGCCACTGATGATTCCAAAGCAATCTGTCGTCTCAGCGTTAAATTCGGTGCCACAGCAGCAGGCTCCTTTTGGAACGGGTGAAAGAGCTTAATATCGATGTCATTGGTGTCAGCTTCCACGTAGGAAGCGGCTGTACCAATCCCGAGACCTTTGTGCAGGCAATCACTGATGCCGGCAGTGTTTTTGACATGGGGGCTGAGGTTGGTTTCAGCATGTATCTGCTTGATCTTGGCGGTGGCTTTCCTGGATCTGAGGATGTGAAGCTTAAATTTGAAGCGATCGCCTGCATAATCAACCCAGCATTGGACAAATATTTTCCGTCAGACTCTGAAGTGAGAATCATAGCTGAGCCCGGCAGATACCATGTTGCATCAGCTTTCACACTTGCAGTTAATATCATTGCCAAGAAAATTGTATTAAAGGAACAGACTGGCTCTGATGATGAAGATGAGTTGAGTGAACAGACATTTTTATATTATGTGAATGATGGTGTCTATGGATCATTTAATTGCATACTGTATGATCATGCACATGTAAAACCCCTTCTGCAAAAGAGACCTACACCAGATGAGAAATATTATTCATCCAACATTTGGGGACCAACGTGTGATGGCATTGATCGGATTGTTGAGCGCTGTAACCTGCCTGAAATGCATGTGGGTGATTGGATGCTCTTTGAAAACATGGGCGCTTACACTGCTGCTGCTGCGTCTACTTTCAGTGGCTTCCAGAGGCCGACAATCTCCTATGTGATGTCAGGGCCTGCATGGCAACTCATGCAGCAAATCCAGAACCCGGACTTCCCGCCCGAAGTAGAGGAGCAGGACGTCAGTACCCTGCCTGTTTCTTGTGCTTGGGAGCGTGGGATGGAACGCCACCGAGCAGCTTGTGCTTCAGCTAGTATTAATGTGTAGATATCACTCTTGCAGCTGGTAACTGCAAGTTTAGCTTGAATTAAAGGATTTGGGAGGACCATTTAACTTAATTACTGCTAGTTTTGAAATGTCTTTGTAAGGGTAGGGTCTGCACGATTTGGCCACACAGAAGGCTAGGATGTGGGTCATACTTTTACCTGTGTTTCTATGGAAACTATTTGTATATTTGTTTTATATGGATTTTTATTTACTCTTCAGACATGCTACTTCAGAGTGTTCCTCAGCTGCTAAACAATCGTTTGTAGCTTGTACAGTGGCAGAATGGGCCAAAAGCTTAGGGTTGTGACTGTACAGTGGCAGAATGGGCCAAAAGCTTAGGGTTGTGACCTGTTTTTAAAATAAAGCATCTTAAAAAAAAAAGATTCCCTGGGACAGGGGAAAGCACAGGGAGCCATGAAGGTGAGCTCAAGGTTATGAAGGAACAAATATATCAGAGGAGGAGGAGGGAAAGGGAAGTGAGATAGGTAGACACCTGTGATAATAGTATGTGTGTTCCTCTGGAGCACAATGAATGTGTATCTTTAGACCACAGATTTGGTTTTTGGTTTTTTTTTTTTTGGTATTTTTATTTTTTTGCTGTATTTTTAGACATGCATGCGTGATTTATATTTCTAACTTGTTTAGTCTTGTTATCTAATTAGAAAAGTTGTTTTAAAAGCTTTTAAAGAATACAGAGCTTTTATCTATGTGCTGAAGTTGTAACAAGGGTGAGAGGGGTACATCTCACACATGAGTGTGAGAACCCAATTATTACATTTATGAGCTAGAAAATCTTTTTATCTTAAAATGAGCTTCAGACTAGAAGTCACAAAGGTTGAGACTTAAAGTAATTAGTAACCACTGTGACCATTGATCTGTCTCTTTTTTTTTTTTTTTTTTTTTGAGACAGTCTGGCTCTGTCACCCAGGCTGCAGTGCAGTGGCACGATCTCAGCTTAACTCGGGATCCACTTCCCGAGTTCAAGGGATTCTCCTGCCTCAGCCTCCCAAGTACCTGGGATTACAGGCACCTGCCACCATGCTCAGCTAATTTTTGTATATTTAGTAGAGACGGGGTTTCACTGTGTTGGCCAGGCTGGTCTTGAACTCCTGACCTCGTGATCCACCTACCTTGGCCTCCCAAAGTGCTGGGATTACAAGCGTGAGCCCTAGTGCCCCATTGTCTCTTAAGGATTCTTACCTGAAGAAAAGAATGAAGCATGTAAGCATGTGTATATATTTTTAAGGTTAACATTTTAGAGTTGATGACCTATTTACTGTATTTGTCTTTTACCAAATACCCCTTCCTTTAACAGCCTTAAAAGTCAAAGACTCCATAGTGAGGTGGTAACAAGTTAGTACCAACTCTCCTTCTTCGATGGGGAGTAACGGTAATAGACTCCCTTTAAGCTTGATATATTTTTACATCTCATTCTTTGAGTAAAACTGATTGCAGGACTCTGATAAAGTTCATTTCTTTTTTTTTTTTTTAATGAGATGGAGTCTCACTCTGTTGCCCAGACTAGTGCAGTGGCACCATCTTGGCCCACTCTGCCTCCCAGGTTCAAGCGATTCTCCCGCCTCAGCTTCTGGAGTAGCTGGGATTACCATGCCCAGCTAATTTTGGTATTTTTATACTAATGGGGTTTCACTATGTTGGCCAGGCTGATCTCGAACTCCCGACCTCAGGTGATCTGCCTACCTGAGCCTCCCAAGGTGTTGGGATTACAGGTGGGAGCCACCACGCCTGGCCCTATCATACATTTCTTTTTGTGTCTTTGTCTATGCATTTAAAAAAATATAGGTGATGTGCTATATATAGAATTTCTATCCTAACCAGATATTTATATTTAATATCATAAGTAACATCAGAAATTTAAAAGTACATGTCATATAATGGCTAAATAGAAAGTCTAAGGGAATTTTAAAATACCGCCCCCCTCAACAAATACCGTTTATAAGAGCTACAAAAAGAAGAAAAGAGCTAGTAATAAACTTAATAAGAAATGTGAAAGCGCTATGAAGAAAACTTCAAATACTGAGATAAAAGGATGACTTGAATATTTGATATGGAAGAAATAAGAAAACATTGGAAAAGAAGATTAGATTGACGGGGAGAGCTGAGTGAGGACTGGTCCTACTACATACTAAAATAGGCAGAGCAGTGGAACAGCTTAGAGTCAAATACACGAGGAGAATTTAGTTATAGAGGAGGCATTTCAAATGAGGTGGATGATTTGATACATGATGTTGGAGGAACTGGGTAGCCCTATAGAATAAAAACTTCTTACCTAGCTTCATAAATCAAAGTTAATGAATTCACAAGCCATAAATTTAAACAGTGATAAGTTTTACTGTGTATCAATAAAGAGCTTTTGTATGGCAACCAAATATGAACACTAAGAATTCAATGTGGGAGAAGAGATTTCCCCATTTATAAATGACCAATTTCCCAAATAAGAGCCGCCATAAATAAGTAAAGAACCCCACAGGCAAAGTCAGCAAAATATATGAAGAGAGTTTATAGAAAAAGAAATGCACAGTGTAAAAAGATTTTAGAACAAAGTGTTACTATCATTCTTAGCTATTCTCAATAAATCTTTTCCTAACAGGTTTATTGAGGTATAATTTATATACTATCCAGTTTGCCCATTTAAAGTGGTTTTTAGTATATTCACAGCTATGCACCATCACCACAATTTTAAAAGCATTTTTATAACCCACAGGAGAAACTCCATATCCTTTTAGAGTCACCCCCTCATTCCTCCCAAGTCCACCAGGCCCTAGGCAACTGCTCATCTGTTTTCCTTGTCAATGGATGTACCTATTCTGGACCTTTCATATGAAAGAAACAAAATGTGAACTTTCGTGACTGGCTTATTTTCACTCTTTTACAAAAAATTTCACTATGCCAGTGATAGCACAAGAACCTTGAAAACAAAGTTCATCCGTATTGGGCACGTGTCAGCACTTTATTTCCTTTTATGGCTGAATAATATTTTACTTATGGAAATTATATGGGAAAAATATTTTTTCCCATCAGTTGATGGACATCTGGATTGTTTTTATTTTTTGGCTGTTTTAAATAATGCTATAATGAATACTGATTTACAGGTATTTGTATGGATGTATGTTTTCATTTCTTTTGTGTATATACTTAGGATTAGAAATGTTGCGTCTTATGGTAACTCTGTTTCATATTTTGAGGAACTGCCTGATTATTTCCAAAGTTGCTGTACCATTTTACATTCCCGTCAACAGTGTACGAAGGCTTCAGTTTTTCTACATCCCCACCGACACCTGTTATCTGTCTTTTTAAAATATTAATAGGTGTCGGTGGGGATGTAGAAAAACTGGTGGTGTGCACTTTGTTGCTCAGTCTGGAGTGCAGCGGCATGATGACAGCTCACTGCAGTCTTGACCTCTCAGGCTCAAGTGATTTCCCACCTCAGCTCCCCCTGAGTAGCTGGGATCACAGGCATGTGCCACCACACCTGGCTAATTTTTTAATTTTTTTTTGTGAAGACAGAGTCTCACTATGTTACCCAGGCTGGTCTTGAACTCCTAGCCTGAAGCAGTCCTCCCCTCTCAGCCTCCCAAAGTGCGGGGATTATAGATGTGAGCCAGTGTACCCTGCTTTACCTGTCTTTTTTTAAAAATTATTCATTATACTTTAAGCTCTGGGGTCCATGTTCAGATCGTGCAGGTTTGTTACATGGGTATATACGTGGCGTGGTGGTGGTTTGCTGCATCCATCACCCTGTCATCTATATTAGGTAGGCGATCTCAGCTCATTACATACAACCTCCACCTCCCAGGCTCAAGCGGTCCTCCCACCTCAGCCTTCCAAGTAGATGGGACTACATGTGTGCATCATCTTGGCTGATTAATTTCTGTATTTTTTGTTGAGATGGGTTTTTGCCATGTTGCCCAGTCTTCATGGTGGTTTTGATTTGCATTTCCTGGATGCCGAATAATACTGAGCGTTTTTTCATCTGCTCACTGGTCTATGTTCTTATATTTAATACAAACATTGTTGCCTGCCTTTCCTAAAATATGTGTGTGTGTGTGTGTGTGTGTGTGTTCAGTGTATTTGCATGTCTAGATTTCACCATGAAAAGTTCATTTTAGGAGCCCAGACTGAGCATGGCAAAACCCCAACTCTACCGATAACGGTGAAGTGCACCTGTGGTCCAAGGTATTCAGGAGGCTGAGGGGGAGGATCACTTGAGCCCAGGAAGGTTCACACTGCTGCACTCCAGCCTGGGTAACAGCATGAATCCTAATCTCAAAAGAAGAAGAAGAAAAACCGGCTGGGCACTGTGGCTCATGCCAGTAATCCGGCACTTTGGGAGAACAAATTGGACAGATCACTTGAGTTTAGGAGTTCGAGATGAGACTGGACAAGGAAAACCCCATCACCACAAAAATTACAAAAAATTATCCAGGCGTGGGTGTGTGTACCTGTGGTCCCAGTTATTCAAGAGGCTGAGGTGAGAGGATCACTTGAGCCCAGAAGGTTGAGGCCACAACAAGCCGTGATCACACCACTATACTTTAGCATGGATAACAGAGTGAGACATAATCTAAAAAAGAGAAGAAAAAAGGGCTAGGCACAGTGGCTCAGACCTGTAATCCAGCATTTTGGGAGGCTGAGGTAGGCAGAGTACCTGATTTCAGGCATTTGAGACCAGACTGGGCAACATGGCAAAATCCCATTTCTACCATAAATGCAAAAAATTAGCCAAGCATGGTGATGTGCACCTGTGGTCCTAGCTACTCAACAGGCTGATGTAGGAGGATTGATTGAGCCAAGGAGGTTGAGGCTGCAGCAAGCCGTGATCGCAACACTGCACAACAGCCTGGGTTACAGAGCAAGACCTAATCCCAAAATAATAATAATTTAAAAAGAAAAAACACGTGGACACAGTGGCTCACACCTGTAACCCAGCACTTCGGGAGGCCAAGGTGGGCAGATTACTTGAGTTCAGGAGTTTGAGACCAGATTGGGCAACGTGGCAAAACCCATCTCTACAAAAATCCGAAAGATTAACCAGGCATGGTGGTGTGCACCTGTGTTCCCAGCTATTTTAGAAGCTGATATGTGAGAATCGTTTGAGCCCAGGGGGTTGAACCTGTAGGAAGCTGTGATCGTGCCACTGCACTGCAGCCTGAGAAACATAGGAAGACTTAATCTCAAAAAAAAAAAAAACTTTTTAAAGAAAAGGAGAAAAAAAAAAAATGAAAGAAATGGCTGGGCACAGTGGCTCACGACTGTAACTCAGCACTTTGAGAGGCCAAGATAAGCAGATCACTTGAGTTCAGGAGTTTGGGACCAGACTGGGTAACAAGGCAAACCCTATCTCTACAAAAAGCACACAAAAAAAGGGCCAGGCTTGTGGTGTGCCTCTGCTGTCACAGCCATTCAAGAGGCTGAGGTGTGAGGATCACTTGATTCCCGGAGCTCGAGGCTGCAGCAAGCTGTAGTGCCACTGCACTCTACCCTGGGTAACAGAGTGAGACCTCATCCCCCCTCCAAAGAAACCAGAAAGAAAGAAAAACGATCTGTGCACAGTGGCTCACGCCTGTAACCCAACACTTAGGGAAGCCAAAGAGGGCAGATCACTTGAATTCCAGAGTTCAAGACCAGACTGAGCACATGGCAAAACCCCATCTCTACCAAAAACGCCAAAAATTCGCCAGGCAGGGTGGTGTGCACCTGTGGTTCCAGCTATTCAAGAGGCTGAGTTTGGGAGGATCGCTTGAGCCCAGGAGGTTGAGGCTGCAGCAAGCCCTGCCCACGCCATTGCACTCCCGCCTGGGTAACAGAGGGAGACCTCTTAAAAAAAAAAGGCCGAGGTCTTGACTCACCCTCTGGCCTCAGCCCAGGCTGGCGGGATCGCCCTGAGGCGGAGGCTGCCCGGACCCCGCGGCCAGGCCGTCCCTGCTTCGGGACCTCCCGCAGGTCTGCGGGCGTCGGTTTGGGGCTGGCTGGGTGCATGGGCTTTCCTGCGTGCACACGTGTGCCAGTGCCTAAGCGAGGGGATAGCGCAGTTCTGGAATGGCGTGTGTGCAGATGTGGGCCATGCATGGACGTGCAGGCGCAGGTTTGCATGCATGGCGGCAGCCTGTGTGTCAGCCTTCTGGATGCACGCGCGTTTCAGCGCGGCCGGGAGGGGCTTGGGGACACCCGGAAGCCCGCCAGGTCCGGTGCTGCTGCAGCCTCAAAACCAAGTCCACCGTGGGCCCCAGGCACCAGAGTTATGCTCAGGGCGGTAGGGGAAAGGGGATAGAGACGGTCCGTTCACCTTCCCCTCCACTGGAGACTTTGGGCTGCCCCAGGTTGGGTTGTAGTGTATGGAGAGCCCGGAGCCTCAGATAGAGAAGGTGGGAGGTGGAAGAGCACTCGCAGAGGCCCCTATCCAGCCCTCCGGGAGCATCCAGATGCTGGCCACAATTGGGCAGTAATTGACCTCTTCCTGGTCTTTCCCATCGGCCATCCCGAGGTCCCTGTAAGGTGAAAGCGGGAACGGAGACAAAGAGCTGTTCCTTTCCCACTGCCAAAGGCAGGGTTGGTTCGGCGGTGGTGGGCTCTTCTCCGGGACCCTGGCCTGGGTGCTGAGTGAGGTTGGAGCTTGACAGGGAGGATCCACAGAGCTGCTTCTCCAGGGTGACCTGAGCCTGCTCCTTGGGCACGTGCCCTTTCCGAGAGGGTCAGGGAAGGAGGCACCTACATTTTGGCAACTGTTTTGAATGGAGGAGCAGCCTCCCTTGAGGGAGTGTATCCTGGGCTCTCCACCTCCGACTGGCAGGACAAAGGTCACTCCCACACCCCTAAGAGTTCTCATTGGGCTCCATAGAGCCCCCACCCCTCACACAGAAACTCCTGAGGGTCCCAGGTGGCCTCCTCTCTACTGGATGGGTCCCAGGTGGGGGCCTCAGGAAGTCTCCAGGGCAAAGGGTATTGCATGGGCTGAGGCCCAGGAGAGAGGGACTCCTGCTGTTGTGGGTGGGGACCAAATGGGCCCCAAGGAGCATGTGGGGAAGGTGAGAGCAAAGTCAGCACTTAACCCAGAGTGTCCCAAGGGTGGGTGGGGAGGGTCCACACACCAAAACCCTACAATTTTTTCTCACAGCATTGCTGTGGAGAAGGGGGCTTTCATTTTCATAGGGGGCTCTGTTCACCAAGGCCTCTGACTGCCAGGGAACCCACACCACAGTTCCCTTCTTTCTGAAGGCTTGCCCTTCCACAGCCTGGATGCTTGAGCCTGGGCAGAGGGGTAGTGACCCCAGGACTGTCTTGGTAAGCAGAGAGGCTCCTTGGCACCAGGCTCTTGACTCCTTAGTCTGAGCTCAGCATCAGGGATGTCACCACGGCCCCCTGGACAAAAAGGGCTCAGCCCTGAGTACCTGGCACTTCCCATACCTGCATGTCCCTTCTGTGCATCCACCCTGGGGACCCAGCTTTCCCCCTGCCCCCAGCTGCTGGCAGCCCCATCTTGACTCATCCAGGGTCCCTGAGGCCACCAGGAAGCAGCGGGCAGCTGGGAGGCACACCTGCTGTTTCTGCATCTTTTTTTCTGGAGCTTATGTGGGTGGGAGGGGCTACAGACGCCAGGGATCCTGCAGGCCATGCCTCCCACTCCCTGGCTGAATGAGCTTTCTTCTCAGGGGTCTGACTGGAAGGCTGGGACCGACCTGTCACAAAGGCAGGTCTGAGTAGTCCAGGCCCATTCCTACTCTCCAGCAGGGCCCCTTCTGTTCATTTGTGCAGCTGCCTTTGCCCAAAGCACCAGTGAAGTCTGCGCGGACTGTCCCTTGTTTCCAAGGGGAGTGTGGCTCCAGTCCTGGCCTGGAACTCAGATGCCTTAGAATTAGAGGCCACATCTGGCAGGGTGGAGTAGCGTGGCCTGCCCATGGCCAGGGCAGGTACCACGTTGGCAGCCCCAGACCTGACACCACGGCTCCCGTGTCCCCTCTCCACTTCCGTCCAGCACATCACTTACACTACGTCTGCCCCTGATGAATCCGGACTGTCAGCCTCCCCAGCTTAGCCTGGAAGTCCCACTGACCCTAAGGAGAACTGTGCCTCCTGAGCTGGGGGCTATGTGGGAATGGGCCTGGGGTGGGGTGGGGGAGGTCAGGGTGAGACAGGTGTCCAGCACCTCTCTGTTTATCTTCCCTTCTCTTTTGCCCACAAAAGAGGCATCTTTCCATATCCCTCTGCCACCCCGAGGACATAAAATATTTCCCCCGTTATGTCTTCCCTTGGACACGGCCCACCTGCTTTCCTGTGGGACTCAGGGCTTTGTTTTGTCCTGTGGCCCACATGAGAAGCAATTATCCCTACTCTGCTCAGCTGAGAGAGTTAAACTGAGGCAGAGCAGGGGAACAACTCTGTCATAGTCTGGATGTTAACAGCAGAGGCAAGAGCAGCCTTTCCTCGAGTGGTCGGGTCCGGTGGACACCAAGCGTGGAGGCTGTATCAGTCGGTTTTGCGTTGCTCCAGAGGAATACCTGAGACTAGATCATTCATTTCTCTTTTTCAAGGTTTGGTAGGGCCACTAGGCTGAGGGTTGGAGCCCCGTCTCCTAGTCCCAGCCTGGGTCTCCATCACTGGCTGGCCGGCTCTGCTTGCTGCGTTCTCTCCACACCTGCCTCCTGCAGCCCAGGGGTCAGTCTGGGTGCAGACCTGGGAAAGGTCCAGGAGCAGATTCTGCCCCCCAGCTCTTACCTCCTGTGCACCAAGGCAGCCAAAATACAGCAGCAGAACCAGGAGCGCTGGCTTATCCCAGTATCCCAGTGTTTTGGGAGGCTGAGGTGGAAACATCACTTGAGAGCAGCCTGGACAACATAGCAAGACCCTGTCTCTACAGATAATAAAATTGGGCATGGTGGCATGCACCTGTAGTCCCAGCTACTCAGGAGGCTGAGGTGGGAGGACTGCATGAACCCAGGAGGTCAAGGCTGCAGTGAGCTATGACTGCACCACTGCACTCCAGCCCGGGCAACAGAGCAAGACCCTGTCTCTAAAACAAGAAACAAAGTGCATTGTGTGGTGGAATCCAGCTTCTGGCGTGTGGACCTGACCTCACTCGGTCCCATCAGTGAGTGGGAGGCTGCCTGCTGTCTCCCAGAACATTCCCACCACTACACCTGTGTTTCTCCTGTGTTCCCTGGCAGGCTTTGTGAGGGGGCCTGTCACCTACCCTCTGGCTTCCCTAAGGCACAGCTCAAACCTTTCTTGCCACTGAGAACCTTCTCGTGAAGAGTCTTACCCTCACCCACAGGCCTCCTCATTTCAGAGCTTTTGGTGGGGTGAGTACCAGGATTGACTCACTGCTACCAGCTGGGAGGAATTGTCCCTAGGGTTGGGTCTCTGGATGGCATGTGAGGATCTAGACGAGGACCCAGATGCCTGTAACCTGAAGGGCAAGGGCCTCGGCTGCCAGGGCTTCACACAGCCCCTCGTCCAGCCTGACCTTCTGGGACAGGCCAGACCCCTCCATCCTTTGGTCTTGGTCCCTACTGGGAACCCTGGTTTCCCTGGATTACCCACTTTGACTCCAAAGGTAATAATGCTGACATCCCCCGTGAGACCGTGACAGACTGAGACTATCGTAGGTTTGCCTGGCTCAGAGTCACCATAGCCAGGCAGAGCTGAGGTCCTGGCCCTGTTCAAGACTTTCCCAAATCCCTTCTAGCTCTGGTACCTGGGTTCTTCCTCACCGAGCTGCAGCTTCTCCCACCCCTTCCACCAGGTGACAGAGAACCTGGCAGTCTGTGAGCCATAGAAGGCTTCAGTTTCCTTCTGGTGAGGGATGAGAACCAGCTTAGGGCGGGAGGGAAGAGGGGTCTGGGGGCCCTCCCAGCCCTGCCTCTGGCATTTGAAGGATGGTGGCTGGGCAGCAGCATGGTTTAGGCTAGACAAGGCGGCCCCTAGGTTTATAGCCAGGCCTCAGACAGTTGCTGCCATGTCACCTTCGCTTCTGCACATGCTGACCTGGCATCACACCTAGTTAAAGGTCCTCAGGCCTCCCGCCCCTGGGCATTTCCCCCACTCCCAGCCCAGGCACAACTGTCCTTGTCCTGGACTCATCTTCAGAGATGCTTGTCCAGCACACAGCTTTGCTGGATGTCGCAGGCTGGGCCGGGCCCCCTGCCCTGCACTAACCTCTTCGTGAGTCTCAACTAGACTGAGCCGCAGCTTCAGGGTCAGGACAGGCTCTGACCTAATTGATGTGACCCAGGACAAGGGGGTTACATCTGCTTGAGTTCTTGGCCTCTATGGTCTCTTTGGGGCATGATGCCCCTCTGTCCCATGCTTAGGTGCCCACATGTGGCCACAAGTGCCTTTCCTTCCAACATCCGTACTTCAGGCTGCTGCCCAGGCACCGGTGGCTCCAGGCAGAAGCGTGAGTGCAGAGCCAGGCCTGGGCTGACGTTCCGCAGGTGCTGCAGGAGTTGACAGCCTTGGCCACCCAGCCCATGGCCATCCATTCCCCTACACTGTGGCTGCCCCCAGTCCACCATCCTTCCAGGGCCAGGCCTGGAACCAAACTGACTTCTCTCTGGACCTGACAGGTTCTTGGCTGAGCATGATGGTCTTGCCCATTTCTTTGATTATCCTCAACAAGAGGTTTATAGAGCCATTGGGAACATCACATCTGTCTACCACGTCCTCACCAGAGACATGACTGCCTTGGGCCAGGCCTGGGACAGTCAGAAGTTACACTTGCCTGTTGAAACCCAGATTCATTGGCTTCAATCTAGGCAATGGGCTGATGGGCAGCTGTCACTTCTCCTTTGCTTGGGGGAGGTAGGAGAGGAAGGTCAGGCAGGAGATCTGCTTGGCACCCACCTGTGCCTGTCTCACCTGGCTGCAGGTGCATTGGAGACTGAACCCCTTTCTTGATCTGCAGGTGTGGATTTCAGGTTTCCAATGGTTGTCAGGGTGTGCTCCAGTGCTCTCCTGGCCCTAGGGAACCCTGGGCTCCATGAGACCTTGGCCTAGGCAGGATTGTTTCCCACACTGTCATCTCCCCATACAGTCACCTCCCCAAACACTGGGCTCCAGGCTCTGGTATATGTAAAAGTTCAAAGGCAAAAGTCAGCCCTTCCGCTCTCCCGGAGTGGGTGGCCCCACCCCTCTCAGAGTGGGCGGGGACAGGAGTTGCAGGGGCAGCTTTCCTTGGGATGCCACAGGTCTCTCTGGAGCTGCCTAGCCACGCCTCCTTTCCTTTCATCTTTCTCATGACCAATGGGATTGGAGCATGAAGGCCACGCCCCTGTTCTACATTCTAGTGTGGCCCTGGTTACGCCTCCTCTGTCTCAGACACACAGCTGCCTGGTAGAGGAGTGGAGCTGCTTACCAGTGCTCCTTTGAATTGTGCTGATGTGGCCCCAACCCCACCTCCCTCCCCAACCCCACCTCCCTCCGCCACCCACCATGTCGATGTCAGAAGAAATTCGCAAGATGATAGCCTCGGCTAGGAAAAAGGTAACATGCACACAGATCCCCTCCAACAGCAAGACCGCTGCCACAGTCCATAACACTTCTGAGACACACCAGACTGGGTTGGCCCCTAACCCTGGTTCCTCTGGGCTCCCCCTACCAACGTCTTGTCAGTCAGCCCCACCCCTTCAGCAAGGAGCCCAGCCCCTACCCTTGCCAATCACCCCAGGGTGACTTTGGATGTGTAACTCCTGAGGCTCCCCACTCCCTACTTGGACCTCACCTTTTCCTGCCCCAAGCCTGACCTCCCTGGGCTCTGTGGGCTCGCGTCTCTAAGGACCTGGGTCTCCCAGCCCCCGCCCTCACCAGTCATTTCTGGGTGACTTTGGGCTGGTGACTCCTGGGAATCCCTGCTGCAGACTCTGCCCTCCCCTCCTCCTCCCCCAGGGTGGCCTCCCTGTGCTCTTTGGGCTGGCATCTCCAAGGACCTGGGTCCCAACCCTGCATCCCCCTCCCCCATCATGGAGCAGTGACTCAGGCATCTCGTGGATGTGGTCCCCTCCCCCAGGGGGAGTGGAATGTAGCGATGTCACAGTCCCCCTAGGAACCATCATTCCTGCTATAAGACCAGCCTTTGATCTTACCGCCCAGTCCCCTAAGCATTCTCATAGCATTTCTGGCTCCTCTGGTCCCAGCACACATTTCCAGCTGGTTGGGGAATGTGGACTATGGGACCTAGGAGCGAGAGGTTTTAGGCTGCCCACTCCTTTAACATAGACCTTGACAGTGTGAAAAGCCTACACTTCCCTCGTGAGCTCAAAACATTGACAGTGTCTCTGGGTGGCAATGGGAGAATGGGTTTGGTTTGGTTTTCTCTCAGGCTTCTACTCCAGAGAGACTTTGATGTTACTTTCTGAGTTCTCCAGCTCATCTTCAAATTCTCCATGGTTTTGGGACCAGACTGCCCTTCAGTCACTGGCCTCTGGAGTGAGATTTGCTCATCCTCTGTGGAACAGATCTTGGGAAATTGAAACTGACAGCTTGAATCTTCCTCAAATCATTGCAACTCAGGCTACTTTGAATGCCACGGGATAAACATGGGACATTTTTCTGAAGCATCAGTTTCCCTTGAGTCTCTAGAGAGAGCAAAAGCATTAATGTACTTAGGGATGACAGTCACATAGGTTTCTAAGGGTATACCAGACCTCTCTCAATAAGACTTGGGTTGTCCTCCTTCTCCCAGATTTAACAAAAAGGCTGCCTTCTGCCATGAGGACACATTGATATAAAAGTGTGAGAGGTACTGGTGCTCTTCTTTTTTTTCTGAGATGGAGTTTCACTGTTGTTACCCAGACTGGAGTGCAATGGCACGATCTCGGCTCACCGCAACCTCTGCCTCCTGGGTTCAAGCAATTCTCCTGCCTCAGCGTCCCGAGTATCTGGGACTACAGGCGCGCACCACCATGCCCAGCTAATTTTTGTATTTTTAGTAGAGTGGGGGTTTCACCTTGTTGACCAGGATGGTCTCGATCTCTTGACCTTGTGATCCACCCTCCCAAAGTGCTGGGATTATAGGCATGAGCCACTGCTCCCGGCCAGTGGTGCTCATGTGAGGCTTTATGATGCTAAACCGCTCGGCATACAGTTCCTGCCTACTTCATGTTGATTTTTCTACCTCTGCCTGTGGTTTTGGTCTCTGGCAGTTGCTGATTCATGGCAAAACCCTAGAGCTTGGAGTCAGAGGAATGAGTTTAAGTTTTAGTATTACTTTCTCTCTTTGTTTTCTTTTTTTTTTTTGTCATGACATCAATCCCTCTCAGTCACTAAGTGAGTGTGACAACACAGTATAGAGTTGTTGGTGGCATTAAATCAGATGGTGTATAACAGTATTTGTAAAAACTGTAAAGTAGGTTGTGACTGTAGGGGTTTGTAGTTCTCATGGGCATTACTGCTCTTTTTCCCACAGTTAAAAGAATTTCAACAAAGAAACAGCCCTGCTGCTCCATCTCGAGTGAGAAGAAGAAAGAAAAGAAACAACAGTAGCCGTGAGACATCCGCTTCTGATGGTTGCCAGTCACCATGCCATGTGAGTCTTGGCTGGCCAGGCTTCTGGGGAAAAGGGGCCCAAGGGGCAGTAGAGGGTAATTGTTAAGGTTGTGGAAGAACTTCTGGGTACTGGTTAGGAATTCTGGGTTTGAATCCCGCCTCTCCATCTGTGAGGGATATGATTTAGGGCAAGTTGCTTGAGCTTTTTGGGCCTCTCCTTTCACATCTGTGAAATAGAGGTGATATTGTCTGACTTCCATTTGTGAGGGTGAAATGAGATTCGTTATTGCTGTTGTTTTGTTAATCCCTAGTACATGGCCTGCTGTAAACACCCAGGACACCCAGGAAATGGTCCTTGCTGTTTTGTTTTCCTCACCCCCAGTCTCAAGGGGGAAGCCAGCCCAATGAGAACAGCCATTTGCTGTCAGGCTGTCCCTTTAAGAGTCACTGAAAGGGCCCCAGAAGGGGATGGTGGGAGATCAGAACCATGAGAGGAGCTGGCACAAAGGAGTTATGGGACAAAGGGTCTGAGGGAGGCAGAACAGAAAATGCTGCCAGCTGATGGGAAGAAAGGAAGTCAGAGGCTTGGACACTGAGGGGGACAGAACATCTCCATGTGCACTCTCATCTCGTAGTCAGCAGCAGGTGGTCACAAGGAGGGCCCTGCACCGTGTGCCACCATGAAAGGTCCAGAGGTAAGAGGCCCTGAGCTGAGGTACAGTGACCCTGCAGGCCAGCCCTCCACCCTTCTCCCACAGTGGCAGCTGGGTGCCCCTCTGCCAGCCGAGACAGCCCCACACACCCCAACCGTAATGATTGTTCTCTCTACCTCTCCCTCAATCCTCCTCCAACTCCTCTCCGCATGCACGTTAGAGCACACACCAAGTACAAATAGCCCTGGACTCGAGCTCAGTCACAACTAGTGAACTGAATAACACCATCAACTTATTGGTAAGAGTCCAGTGGGGTCCCCTGATTCCACGCTGCCAATCCTGGGCTCCAGTTTCCCCTTGGGGCTGCTGTGGGTGAATTGAAGGGCGCTATGGGGAGCCAGCACCAGACACAGAGTTTGGAGGCCAAATGCCCGCCTTGCCCTTATCTGGCTGTGGCCTTGGCCAAGTCCTAGGTGGGGGACTGGGCACTTGGCCCTTGGACTGTGAAGGTACAGAAGAGTAGCTTTAGTATGTTACCATTTGTGTAGAGAGAGGAAACGTGTGTGTGTGTGTGTGTGTACATACTATGATAATATACATAAAACATGTCTGCAAGGATTTGTAAAAAACTCAGGTGAGAGCACAGGTGGCTGGGAGATACTTCCCTTCTGTCCCTTCTAAGTTTTGGACTATGTGAATGTATCCTCCTTTCAAAATATGAGCAAAAGATTCATTTCCCCCTTTTCGTCTGTGTCTCCACACCCAGCAGAAAAAAAAATGGACTTAGAGAATCAGATGGACCTGGGTGTTCAAATCCCAGCTCTGTCTAAGTGATCTTAGTCAACCACCTGACCTCTAATACTCCATGTTTTCCATCTCCACAATAGAGGTAATGGTAGTAACCGCCCCTCATGGTGGTTGTGAGGTTAACTGGGACTGTTCGCAGGCTACCTGGTGACGCACTCAATAAAGGTTCCAACAGCGGTAGTAATGACAGGAATAACAATAGGATATGATGTGACCTCTCTGGGCCTCTGTTAGCCAGCTGTAATTGTGGCCTCTTTCCCTGTGCCTTCCAACTTTACTGAGGTCTTTTAAAATCCAGACCACGGGATTGGACGTGACTTGATCTTTACTGACCGAGTTGTGTATTAAGCCCAGCCCTAGCCCTTTTAAGGGGCACTGTGTGGAATGGCCCAGGCTCTCCAGATTGAAGCTTCTCGCTCTTCCCCGTCCAGCCCTCGAGCCGCCGTGAAGCAGTCCTTGAGCAGCAGGTACAGCAGTTTCTACAGGAGCGGGAACTGCTAAAAGCGCAGGTGGCAGAGGTGAGACTATGCAGAGGGAGGGATGTGGAAGGAAGATGAGCCCAGGTGGCCAGGAGCAGGTGAGGACAGTGACAGCCCTTCCTAACTTCTGGGTCCATTCCTGCAGGTGACGGAGTGTCTTAAGAAAGCTCAGCTAGAAAGAGACGCTTACGCTCAACAACTCAAAACACAGAAGGTGCAGTGGCAGCAGAAAATCCTCACAATGGCAGGAGAAGTGAGAGCTGACCCTTCAGCCCCCACCTTAGATAGGTCACTGCATCTTTCTGGGCATCTGTAAAATAAGACTAGTCCAGCCAGGGGTGGTCACAGGACTGGGCTGTGTGGAGCTGGGGGCAGAGAGGGAGATGGTAGCCTGTCCAGCCACCAGCCCTTCTCCAGGGCCCTTTCCTGCTGTTCTTTGGGCAGATTGAAATATTCAAAATGGAGAAAAGTCAAGATGCAATGAAAATCGAGAAGCTGAAGGGGAGCCTTGCCCACCTACAAAACCTTCTGGGTAAGATGGGGCTGGCGTGACCCGGGAGCAGGACTGGCATCAGAGGGCTGTGGGGGTGGCTTAGAGTGCCCCAGGGAGGTGGGTGGCTGGAAGGGCTTTGAGGCAGAGGGAGAGAGGTCTGTGCTGGGAGATGACATGTCTTGTCATCTCCATGGGCCTCAGTGTCCCCATCAGAAAGAGGGAGGGTGCCCATTGTCAGCCACCCACAGTGCTCTCTATCTGAAAGTGGCTTGGAAGACTGGCTACCATTTGGGTGTGAGGAATCATTAGCAGTGAGGCCAGGTTTGGGGAGCTTGAGAGGAGCTGTGCACCCAGAAGAGTTTTTTCTTTTTTAGAATCCAGAGGCCCTTATTGTCTGCTTCCTTTCTCAGCTGAACTCCCGATCCCGAAGCACCGACAGGGCCCTCTGACTTGGAAAGAAAACCTAAAAATTGAAACCAAGTACCTGAGAGATGAGCCACGGGAACAGGAGAGACTGCAGGAGGCAAAAATGAGGCTCTGGGAGACGGAGGTGAGGCTGAGAGAACAGGAGAGGCTTCTTGAGCAGGAGGGGCTCCAGGAGCAAGAGGAGGAGCTGGTGTGTTGCCCACCTGGGGAGCCTGCCCTCCTCCCCAGCCGTCCAGTCCTTTGTTTTCCCACCTGTAAAATGTGAGAGTGTAGCCCTCCCATGAAATGGGCTTTCTAAAGGCACCTGGGAGCCAGAACCCTGCTCTGATGGCTGTGGGAGAAAGGAGACAATTTTTCTAACCTGCCTCCACCCTTCCTGGTGCCATGGGAGGCAGACACCAGTCTGGACATCATCATTCCAGCTCGAGGCATGGAGCCCCCTAGTCATAGGGCAAGAGACAGTGGTGTGAGAGACTCTTTATGCTGGGTGTGGTGGCTCACACCTGTAGTCCCATCACTTTGGGAAGCTGAGGCAGGGTTTGAGATCAGCCTGGCCAACATGGCAAAACCTCATCTCTACTAAAATTACAACCACAAAACAGCAAAGCTGGATGTGATGGTGCACACCAGTAATCCCAGCTACTCAGGGGGCTGAGGCATGAGCATCGCTTGAGCCCGGGAGGTGGAGGTTGCGGTGAACTGAGTTTGCACCACGACTCTCCAGCCTGGGCCACAGAGTGACACTCTGTCACAAAACAACACTAAAGTCTCCTTAGATCCAAACTGGATTCCGACCTTGATTCCACTGGTCACCATTCAACTGCTTTGCATCTCTAAGTCTCTGTTTCTTTACCTTCCAAAGGAAGTTAGCATTTTCCTTGCGTGGGTGCTGAGGAATAAATGAGATGATTCGTAGAAAGCGTTAGGCATGTAGCACACTTGGCAGATGGTGATTGGCTCCCTCTGCTTTTCCAGCAGTCTGTGGCCTACAGTTTAAATGGTGGAAAGAAGGATGTGAGATTTGAGGCTGTGGAAGGAGACACGGGGTTCTAGGCAAGGGAGGCAGTCTCTTGGGCTGGAGCCAGGGGCCAGGCACCGGGGCAGGCCACCTTCCTCTGTGGTCCCTCCCAGACCCCCTTATGCTCTTGGTTTCCCTGCCTTCTGATTCTTCTGGATTCTCATCCCTTCCGGGAGCCAGTGGTCAGACACCTTCGTGACTGACAGGTGCCCCCTCTGAGGCCCCAAGGGAAGGGGCTGTGCTCCACCTCCCTGCCACGTCTGTCCTGTGTATGCCTCTACAAGAACCCTCACCTCTTGCCTTCAGGTGCCATTTCTGAACGCTGCTAAAGCCAGTGCCCAGGAGGAGCAGGCACGGCTCTGTGAGCAGCTCCAGAAACAACAGGTGTGCTGCCAGCACCAGGCTCAGCTGGGGGCCTCGGCCCTGAAGGAGCCAGAGGCAGTGGCCGCAGCCACAGGGACTGGGAGCAAGTCTCGGTGTGGGGAGACCCAGCGGGCCCTGCAGGGAGCCCTCGACCAGCTGCAGGTGAGTGAGTCCAGGCAGGGGCCGAGAAGGGTGGGGAAGGGGGCAGGTTGCTCCCGAGATGTGACCCCATTATTTCGGCTCCAGAGAGACTTCATGGACATTTTGAAGGAGAATTCATACCTGAAGGAGCGGGTGGAAAAACTGAGCTTGGATTCATTCAGCTCTCTGGAGAGAGAGACATGATAAGTGAGCAGGAGGCCAGGCAGGGCAGGGGTAGCTGCAGGGTGGTGGGAGGTGCCCCAGTGTCTGAGCCTGTCCTCCCACAGGAAAGTCCATCAAACCAAATGACCGTCAGAGGGCAGTGGCCAAAACCCAGCACCAGAAGAACGATGTTAGCATGCTGTCGCAGGCCGAGGAGGGGATGAAGGTAAGGTGTACAGCATCTCTGCAGGGGTGAGGGGGATAAGGGTGGGCGTGAGCGTGGGTGCCAGCACCGGCATGGCAGCTGAGCACCCGTATCTCCAGGTAAAGCTGCTGGAGCTGCAGGGGCCAGTGATGCAGCTTATGATCAACCATGAGGTCGTCCAGCACCCTGCTAATGAGCCCACTCCAGGGGCCCCAGCCCCCCAGGAGCCTGGTGCTGCTGACAAGGATGGTGAGTAGAGCCCTCAGGCGGGGTGGGCAGGCAGGAGCAGGGGAGGCTGGCACTGCACTCATATCCCTGCCTCCCTCTCTCCAAAGAACTTTGTGAAGTGATCCTCGCTGACAGCCTGCAGCCTGCAGGAGGGGGGGATACACCAGAACCCCACTGCACAGCAGATGGCACATGGCTTTGTGAGCTGCAGGACAGCCAGCAACACCGACCCTTGGGCAGCAGTCCCTCCACGCCATGCTTTTACCAGGCTGTGGGCGAAGGAGCGGGTAAACATCACGATCAGCTAAGAGCTGGCCCAGAAGTTTACAAACAAACAAAGTTATAGGTTTAGTCTTCACGTTTACTTCATTTGAATGTTAGAGCCACTTGGGATGATTTGTGTTTCTAATCTATAGTTTATTTGTAAAAAGTTAAAGGAGAGAGGGTCTTCCTGTAGCTTTCACTGATGTTCACTTTGGCATTTTTTAGAATTTTTCATTTTTAATTTGATAATCGTAGGTCATTAGCATGCCTATCGAGTTTGCCCTTACGTGGTGGGAGTTCAAACACACAAAGACCCACTATTGACACAAAACTATTCTCGCTAGTTTGGAATAGGCTGCCATGGTTATTTAATGTTATTGCAGCATGTGTATTCATTATGGAATTCAGATACAATTTGCTTATGTTCTGCTATGATATTTGATCAAATCCTATTTACACTGAGCTCTTAATTAGCTCAATATGTGCTTTGCCCTCACGTGCACACTGTTTATTACTTTGTAAGGTGCTACTGTGAGTACTGACATTTAGAGTTGTTGAAAGGCCGAGAACTGGAAACAGCCTTTCTTCCATGTTCTGTGTATTGCAAATGGGAGTAATAACATTTTGGGGAGCTTTTAAAATCTCACAGAAGAGGAAAGCGGCCTGCTATGGCTGGCATGTGCAGAATAGAGTAGTTCATTGGTTCCCATGCCAAGAATGAGCGCTGCGCTATGGTAGTTCTTTTAGGGTTTTTCTGTGCTCTGGGCTCATGAAGACACTGCATGATGAGCTGCAGCAGCTGTACTCTTTTTTATGACCTACAAAGAGATGATTTCTGAGGAATAAAAGGCTCCCATCTTTGATGGTGGATGTGGAAAACCTTTCCTAGCTTAGAGCATTTACATCTATAATACATTGTAAAGTCAGAGCTCATGTTACCTGTTTTAATCCCCTGACTCTAAGTCTCAGTACACAAAAGGGCACTGGTTGGCATTCTTCTTAATGTATTTAGTAAAGGTCATAAGAAATCCTTTAAGATAAAGTGTAATTTATATATATATACATATATATTATATACAGGAATGGAAATTTGTATCTTAGAATGGATAGGCACTAAATATTGATGACTGAACAGTTAATGTTTTAGGACACTTGGTATAGTGAGTGCCTTGCACACAGAAAAAGACCACGGATGAGATTATCCTTTGTATCATTTCACAGTTTTAAAAATTGCTATTGATTACAGTTCACATAGCAAGTTGCTGATAAAATGTCTGTTTTCATAAAACATCTCCAACAACAACAAAATCCTTTCAGAGTTTAAATGTCCAGAAAAAAAATAAAAATTTGAATAAAAAATTTTAAAAAGTTTAAATGTCCCTGGAACAGGCACACAGGGTGTAGTCAAGAATGAACTAGAGTGCAGGAAAGCCGTGTGACACCTGGCGTCCCTCCGTGTTCACGGAGCTTCTTTGAGGCAAGATTGACTTGACCGTCCAGACTTCTCTGGCTAATACCTATTCTTCAACCACCTTGGTTACTCTGACATAGGAATTGCCTTGTTTTTCTTCAACGAAAAGGACTTTAAACAATAATCACAAACATTATTATAAACTAATATATGTGAGAGTACTTGGCTGAAAAAAAAGGAGTTTCAGTAGACAGAATTGTACTATATTTGACAATCAAAGAGAAGTTTATGCAACGTAAAATGTTTATAGCCTGCAGTGCCATCTACTGTTTGTGAATGTCAATGTATTATCAGGAAAAGTGTCTAACAATCACAGAGTTCTATTTCCTCAGCAAGTTCTTTACCAAGAGAGAAATACGTTTTTATCCCTTTCAGTCTCAGTTAGAGGCACATTTTGTTCAAGATTTATGTTAATGTGTCTCTACATTATGAATGAATTCTTTCAGTCAGACATTGCATAAATCATAACTTTATGATGCTTGGGACAGAATCAACAGTTGAAACTTCATCAAGTTCTAATGTTCGTGTACCAAAATACCTCCCATTGTTAGGATGGAGGGAGATATGCATGTGTGCTACCTGAAGGGGAGATTCCTAGTTACTGACCATCTCCACGTTTAGCATTTGGCATCTTCATGATACTTTCATAAATATGACATTAATAGGAGAGCACTCATACAATTTGACAGATGGAATAACACATTTGCCTGCATTCCCTGAAAGAGTGCAAATATTGGGTCCTGGTGATTTGAACTGACTCTTCCAAATTGTAGGGATTTATCAATGTATCAGATAAACCCAGTTTCAGAACGATCAAGGAAAACTGTTAGACCAAATAATGCGGCTAATTAACAGTGGTATGATTTCTAGCCTGGGGGTTTAAAATGGACTTAAAGTTCTGTTTTTTTATTTCTGAACTTGCCGCTTTTGCATTCTTTGAGTTCAGTTTAAAGATAGTTACTTTAAGTCCATTTTCAACCCTCGGGCTAGAAATCGTACCCCTGTTAATCAGCCACATTATTTTGTCTAACAGTTTTTCTTAATCATTCTGAAACTGGGTTTATCTAATACATTGATAAATTATTTCAAAGGGATTTTGATAGTTCAAATCACTTCACTTTTACCCTAAGAAATACAAATGACTAGGAATGACCTTCAGATAGTGTTTAGCATCTGTACCCAATCTGATGATAATGTGTTCATCAGGTACCTGTGGAGTAAATCCCATACAGGCATGTTTAAGCTGAATGGCAGTCAGGAAAATACATTTACTATATTAACCAAAATATCACTCTGAGTAGGCATTTTGTCATCTATTTAAGACAAATCTAAAAGAACGGAAATCACATGACAGTGACTTAAGTCTTTCTTCAAAGTGCACGTGAGTCTCCTGCAGTACTTCATTCAGCCAAGTGTCTGTTCTCTTCCTCATTCAGTAGAAGGCAGCTTTCAATTGGCTTAGAAGGCAACATCAGAAGGTTAGCGTTCATCAAAAACACAGAATTTTAAAATGTGTGTTCAACTGACCAAATTTGAATTTCTGTAGGAAAAATCAAAATACCTGTTTAAAGATTGCAATATATGATAATAATTTTTAAAGGATTTTATTAAACCTGATAGGTTTTCCAGAAATGAATAAAACTCAGTTCTAAAACCAAAGCTGCTTTTTAGAAAATTTGAAAATGTAAATCAGTCCTATCCTGTTCACAATATAGTTTCTCTAAAACTTTATCTTAAAGAGTATTTAAAAATAGCTATTTAAAAAAACTGCTCTCTTAATGTTTTGAAATTACTTAAAACATTAAAAAATATGAATATTGCAGTTTAGAAGAAATAGGGGGAAGGAAAAGTGAAGAAATGCCACTTCCAGTCCAAAGCTTTATTTGCCAAGTTTTCTAAGAATGACTTTTACCACTGTATGAACTCCTGTGAACAGAATGTAAGTTGGAAATCCTGAGGCTTTTGTCTAAAGTGGCAATACTGACTGCTGCTGTGATGCTCCTGTGATGTAATAAATTATTCAGTTGCTGCAAAGCGCTGTTTCTGCCTTAAAATTTTGTGCGTCTTGACAGCTATGGTATTAAAGGTATTGAGACTGCAAACGCTGGGCACACTTGGCATGAGATAATCTGTTTTTATTTTTACAAAATTGTAATATAACTATGCAAGTGTGTTTATTAAAAGAACACAAACTAATAAAATTTATGGGATTAAAAGTTATGGGATAAAAAATCATTGGATAAAAAATGGAAAAGTTGTGGCAAAAAGCATTGTGGATAAAAAGTAGAAAAATTTTATGAAAAGTTATAAATGTTATGAAAAGGAAGTTATGAGATTTTCTTTTTAAGTCATGGGATAAAAATAAAAATAAATAACAGCAGGCTTCTGTCAGCAAGGCCTGAGAAGGGGGAACTGGAGTCTCTACCCCCACCATGTGCCACCCCTTCCCAGTCACCCCTTTATTGTTAAGGCAGCAAGACAAGACCCCTGTCTAATGGGGAAAGACAGACCTTTTGCCAGCTTGACCAGGGCTGAGTCCTTAAATTTCTGGATGATGATGGTTGTTATTGGGAGCCAGAGGCTGCTGGAGTTGGTTTGGTTTGGAGGAGGCCTGATGGCCTCCTTTCTCTCACCAAAGCAACTTTTCCCTCAGGGGGCTCCCATCTTATTCAGAGAGGCAGCTGAGGCAGGACAGTGGTGCTAACTGTGGACCAGGTGAGGGCATGGGCTGCTGCGGTGACCCCCTTCCCCAGTGTAGGTATTATATCTGTGTAACATTTTGTATATTTTAGGGGTTTGGGGTGCCCCCTGTATCGTACCTGGCAGAGGTTGGAGCTGGCACATGGGGAGGAGGTTCAAATAATTATTTGCAGTTGGGAAACTGTTTATTGATAGCAGAGGACAGTATTTTGCTTTTTATTTTGGAATAAATGGATTTAGTCACACTGCTCGGCCTGGGTATTCCCATTTCCTCTCACTGGGTCCTGGAGTTTGTGCCACTGAATGAGGAGCCCCAGTGTCTGAGCATGTCCAGCTGGGCTGTTGGGGACCTTCCAGGCCTGTTACCTGTGTGCTGCCTGGTGACACCTGGAGGATTTCACGGGGACTGCCATGGCACTTCCGGCCCTGACAGCCAGCAGGCTCGGAAGCCTGATCTAGGGGTGGCTGGGAAGGCAGGTACCAGCACCCAAGGGCACTGACTTCAATCCACCCTAAGCATCTTTCTTCCATCCCCCTGCCTCCCTCTCCTGTCTGCACCTGGTGGCCTGTTCTGTCTCTCTCTCTAAAGTACCAGCTGCCAGGCAGGTTCCCTCTAGGCTGAGTCATGGCCCTGCCCCCTAGTGGCCAGAGCCAGCTTCACGGGATAAGACCAGCTAAGCCCCAGGGCCTTTCCAGGAACAGTGTCCCTTGGAAAGGGTGGGGCCTTTTCACCGCTCCCAACAGCACCCCAGAAATGGTCTGCCTTTCCCCTCCCCTGAGCTCCACAAGAACACAGTCCACAGAGGACACATTCCCCGTCATCTAGAAATGGGTTTGACTCTCAGCCGAGGGACAGCAGGACTGATAGAGACTGTCAGACCACAGGGCTGCCTGCACAGCACCCCCATGCTTGGCGGGGGCTGGAGGGATGGAGGGCTTGGGTGCCCACACGCCGGGCATAACAGGGAGGCTCACTGGAGGTGGCGCACTTTGGAGGGGCAGTGTCAGGGGACAACTTTCTCTTGTTGGACCACAAGACTCCACAAGGACAGCCCGGTGACTGACTCCCAGTGCCAGAGGCGAGGTGGTCCGGCCACGTGTAGGTGTGTAACATATATGTGAGTATTTCTAGATATTTCTAGAACAGGGCAGGGGCGTGCCACAGAGGGGGACGGTCACATCTGGATGTGTCAGCTCACCACTACAACAGACTAAGTCACAGATGAAGGGGGCTGGCTTTGTGGCGGTGAGTCACAGAACAGCCCGCCCAGGCAGGCTTGGAAAGGGAGGTCTCTGACAGGAGGGGGGATCTGTGTAGAGGTCGAAGGGGGGCCGGGGGCTCTCAGGATGGGATGGACTTCCCTGACCCAATTGGTTGGCATTTGCAGATAAAGCAGAGAGGACACGGGAGAGAGAAAAGCGAGGAGAGAGCTGGTGAGATAAGCACAGAGCAGGGGCGCTGCAGCAGCTGGGGGAAGGCTGGGCAGGGGAGGGCACAGGTGCAGGTGTGGCAAGGTTCCTGGAAAGGGGCTGGAAGGGAAAGGGAAGGAAGAAAGAGGAAGGAGCCGGAGCTTCACAGGTAGTGCCCGGGGGCTGCGACAGCCCTCTCCACCCAAACACGCTAGCCTCTCCCCACGGCACCCAGGCAGTGCAACCATAGTTCGACCCATGTTGACCACTCTCGAAACTGCCTCTACCCTGGTCACCCTGTCTTCCAATCCCTGGCCCAGGGCACCCCTCATGTTGGGGAGCCCCACACAACAGCCACCAGGCCTGATAGAGAAGGAACACTGCTGAACCAGGAGGGGCAAGCTAAAAGAGCTGGATGGCTCGAGGGAGTGCAGAACCCCTTTTGTCGGGGTCCGCACGTCTGCCAGGGGACTACTGACCTGCAGGAGTCCCCCAAGACCGCCAACGTAGATGTCTCATTCTAACTGAGGGAGAGAGTGCGCGGAAGTGAAACAAATAGAAAAGGTGGAGTCTGGAGGGCTGGCTTAGGCTACGTCCAAGCAGCAATTTATTTTGCAATATTTTCCTTTTATACTTTTCTGAAGTCAAAGTTGTTTACCACTAAGATAGAGTACTTAAGTACAGTAGCAAGTTATGCCACCGAAGTTACGCCCAGTAAGTAGTTGATCCCATTAAGTAGGTTACGCCAATAAAGGTAGGTTACTTTCAGTAATTAGGTTACGCCCAATAGATCAATGTGAGTAAGTTACAGTCACGCTCCAGTAAGCTATGGGAAGTAAGTTACAGTTACACCCAGTAAGTTACTGTAAGTAATTTACCAAGTGTAATACTTAAGTTAATATTTACATGAAGGGTACAAGGGGTCCAAAATGACACAGCAATAAACCATAAGAAGCCGAAAGTGGACACATTGCCTCCCAAGTCCTCATATCCATAAAGTAATGTCTGTAAGTATTTAGAATAACACAGTCCTCTCTCGGTTCCTGCTTTTCCCTCAGCTCGACTCCCCCAACCAGGGATCTGTGTCTGGGCTCAGAGCTCACAGTATTGTGAGGCCCATTTCCCATGGGCCTCACACGGGAGCGATCCCCACAGATTCCCTCACCCTTTGAGTGGTCCAGAAAAGCCAGGACCCTCTGAAGGGACCCTGGGGGAGGTGGGGAGGGCAGGCAGCTGGATGCCAGTGGCCACAGACTTATAAGTCTAAGTGGGGACTCTCACTGGTCGGTGAGGGGGCGGGGGTTGCAGGTCACAAAAGTTGAGGGCTGGGCCTTCCTGCAGGGAAAAAGCAGAAGAGGAGAGTCTGTGGCAGGGGAGGCGGGTTAGCTCTCTGGACAGAGCTCAGCTGGGACAGCAGTCACTGTGGTCCCTTGGCTGAGTAGGGGGTAAGAGCAACAGGCCAAGGTGCATGAGCCTGCTGGCTGGCGGTAGTGTTTCAGAGGGTCAGAGGGGGCCAGGGACCCTGTCTTCAGTCACATGACAGCATCTACACGGGACCTGGGAGGGAGGGGAGGGGGCCGTGTGTTTTGCCTGACCTGTGAGGTGTGTGCTAGGATGATCATGTGTATGGGACTCTCAAGCTTTTACCTAGATCACCACTTGATTGCCGACAGACAAAGGAGGTGAAGACCCTATCTCCCTGGCTCTGCAGTGGATTGGCTCTTGGCATTTCCCAGGCTGGGAGCTGGATGCCCTGCCTGGCAGCATGACTCACACTGCAGGACAGACACAGCGGGCCCAGGATGACTGTCCTAGCCTCTGGCTCCGAGTCCGCCCCACACACAACCCTCCAAGCTCGCAGCCCTACACCATAAAGGACCCACTGTGTCAGCTTGGGCATATAGCCTGTTCCACGAGCCTAGGCTCAGCCATGGAGGCCGTTGGGGCTCCCCGGGAAAGAGGACAGCAGCACAAGGACAGAAAGCTGAAGAGCAAGTCTGCAGCTCCAGAGGGTGGGGCAAGGAGCCTGACTCTGAGGTCCCAGGTGTGCCCCATGTGGAGCTGGCACAGCAGTGTGGCACACCGTTCATTAGCAGCAGGGTGGGCGAGGGCATGTACCTACCATGGCTGAGGCTCCTCAGGGTCACTGAGAGTGATTCAGAAAGACCAGCATAAAACCAACATGGCAGCTCACAAGCATGGCGTGTGGCAGGCTTGAGGGTGGGGGACACACATGCACGTGTGGCACACACACACATGCCCACAAAAACACACACACACCCCTCCCCCTCACCTCCCAGTGTCCAGTCACCCTCACTGGCCAGCACGTGCCACACAGGTCTGGGGGCGTGCGCCACTCGGCACACTGAAGCACACTCC